CATCCATTACAGGAAAAGTAATCATGAAACCGGGCAACCAGTCTGTGCGTGTGCATACCACATAAAGCAAACCATTTGCCCGCAGAATCTATCAAACCCAGCAAAACTGCTCCCACGGTGTCACCTTCCAAGCTGAGAAGTCATCCCACCATTCCCAGCCATCTTATTATCATTCGCGTTACAATTGAGTTTGCTCTCAGGACTCAGGGATTGGATTAGGATTAAATCCCGGTAGAATCAACGCGGGGTCAAGCTGGGAGATGATTCAGATGAATGAAGCTGCTCACTTAGGTTTAAACCAAAAGCAGCTCAATAATCCTAAGCTTAAGCTCGGAGTATATCAAATATATGCGGGCCTCCGAAACTAAAGACGGCTGAGCAGAAATTCAATTTATAAACATGTCCACTTTGCTGCATTGCATGCATATACATAACATTGCATATGAGTTTTGTGATCGTGATCGCTGCCATAGGAACGAAATTAGAAACATAGCAACCGCCTTGTTTATTGATAAGGATAGAAAGATGGTAAAGCCTTCGGGTTCTATTTACGCGTTAATGGGGGAGTTTGAAAAGAGAAAATCTTGATCTTATTAATGAGATTCACATCTTTGAACAATCCAAAAGTTCAAATTCCGATCTTGGGATCAAGAATTTAACGCGGGGTAAAAAGTCCAAAATAGGGAAAAGAAACAAAAAAAGATCCGAGCTTCATATCTCTACAAGAGTTGGCACGTATTGCACGTATCATAAAGCTCGTGACGTCGTTTCATTTTGGCGAGAGTGGGTTCCCGTTTATTTATTTCCTTGATAGATGACACGTCTTCCAAGGAACATTTTCTTCCTTCTATTTTGCCGAATATATACAAAAAATGCGGTTGTCAAAGCTGTAAATCTGCAATTGATAGGTATATGAAATAAATGGGCTCAGACGGCAACTTGCATAGCTGCCATATCATTGTACTTCAACCATCCCGTCCTTTGCCGTATCCGACACAAGAAAAGATCTAATCTCATGCCTTGTACCGTGCAGCCGCGAGCCAAACCCCCGCCCTGATATGTCAGATCATTATGAGAAATGTCATTTGTAGATGCGTAAGGATATCTTTCTTTTGCTCGACACTTTATATCCTATCTTGATGAATCCAGATTGAATATTGTCCGTATCAAATTCGAGGCTGGTTGGATTAAGACAGTATAACACAAGACAACAAACATAGTTATTGTCTTCTCAATCTCTTTTTATTCCGGGATACCCTCACATATACAAAAGCATAATAATTGCTTCTAGAAAACCGATACGAATGATCTGCTCTATTTGCATTTGCCAATGACATCAATTGCTTTGCCCAAGCATCGAAATCTGCAGTGAGAATCGAAGAAGGAAGTTGTGGCAGGTAATCCTAAAATGAAGCAAGGTTCCTACTCTCGGAGCATTTTGAATAAAACGAATCTTGCTTCCTTGAAAATCCGGCCTGTCTCCAAGGTTCACTTACAGTTTTCTCTACCCTGTAAGAAGATGAGCATAGACAAGGACCATCGTTGTTGCGCAGCGAGGCTTGGAGCCTTGGAGAATGGTAATAGATACAAACAAAACGAGCAAACTTGACAAGGCTATCAAAATGTTTAACTAGCCAGACCCAGACTTGGTTTCGAATTGAGAGAATTCTTACTTTTGGTGAGATTTTGATGGGTGATTATGAAGCGGAGTGTTAGTGACTTTGACCGTGAATTGGTGGCGGGTATATCTGATTCTTCCAGTCTTAATTCGAGAGGAAGATGATTGAAGAACTTTAAAATCTTCCAAGATATTTTTCCTTGGTTCCCCGGTTGATATCAATTGACGGTGGACGTCGCCGGTTGCGTTATGAAATTGCCTTGAAAAGTTGAGATCCTCTTTTTTCCTGCAGAAAAAGGAGATGGTTTTGGATCTCGATGTATTCAAAGTTCAAACCGCGGTGGATTTCCACCATTCAGGAGCTAGAAGGGATCATTAGTTTATTCGTTGACTTACGAGGCTTCCCTACCCAACCCATTGATAATCACTCAAATTTCCAGGCTGAGCTGAAATTCGTCTCCTGAGACTTTAGTTTATCTGCGGGAGCGAGTTTCGGCGTCGGTCGGCCAGGCTACCAATTTCATAAAATAAATAATCAGCCAAGCCTCGCGTGGATAGCCTCGGGAGAAACAGGCTGATTTGGCAAGGCTACGGACATGGTGATACGATACGAGCTATTGCTTTATTAATCGTGTTGAAATTTGTACCTATAATTCGTTAGCACGGCATATATATATGATAAGAGTATTTTTCAAATCAGCCATTTGCTCCATCTGTTCAACGGTTGACCTGGACACCCACACCGCTGGTCAAATCTCTTCATGTTTCTGTTTGAGATCCTACCAGGCAATGAATATTCAATATATCATCGGATGATAAATGTCCTCAACTCTCCCATCGCCGACAGCAATGGATGACGAAAATAATTGATATATTCCGGGCGGTTACACTAGAGACCATATGGAGAACCGATTTTCATGATTCTGCCTTGGGAAGTCCGTGAGTGAAAGAAAGGACCAGGTGATGGATAAATTGCTGCGTTGTCAGTTATCATAGGTCGACCTTTTATGTGACCTCAATTTGAAGGATTATATCCGCGCTTGTTTGCCCAATAGGATAGGCAGCCATCAATATGTCGTTGGATAATAGAGGTATATGTATATATATAGTGCATACTCCATAAAATGTTGATCTTGTTCTGAAATGAAAAAGAACATCGTAATCTTACAATTTGCAACTTGTGCCTATGACATGAAAAGAGTAGGCGCTCTCGGGTATTTGGTTCTCATTTTTATCAAGGATGCCGATCGGTATTGAGTTGTACTCCGTACGGGATATGGGGCAATGAAGCCGTTATGAAAATAGAAACGACGCATTCATTAATTATTGAATTGAATCTTTCTGTTTCTAGATACAGCGGAGACGTGACAGTTTTTCGGGATGTCGGGGCAGAAGATAGGAAGGATCTCGATGATATCGAGCTGAAAAGCCTGTGCGGAGTAAAAGCTTGGAATATTCTTTGTAAATTGTAAGTAAGAGTTGATGGGGAGACGCGTTTTGTAAATATTTACTTTCACGCTCTCTCGCACTCACACAGTGTTATGTATGAACGAACAAATGAAGTTGTGTTGAATCATATTTGAGTGGGATCTGACGACAAAATAAGACGGGAAGATATTCACATTGACCAATATTAGCAAAGAAAGCTAGGATGGTGTGATGCAATTGATGCATGAAACTTGAGACGTAAAAGCTTAAATTTCATAAACCTTGTGAATGCCCTGTGCATATTTTGCATCTAGAATTTACTTGATCAAGTAAGGAATGAATGGGTGATTCTTTTTAATATCAATTAATCAATCCATTCATTAATTGATGCTGGCAACTTACAAGAAATGGGTTCCATCAAGACATTAACTTTGATCTGATAAAAGAATCATTCAATATTCTATTAATCAAAAGACATAGGATGGAAGAGACTAGGGAGCCGAAAGTAAATGGTAAAGCAGATAGAAAAATCCTTCTATTCATCATGATGTGTTCGTCATTTTGCACAGCTCACCCATTCATGAATGTGGCATTATGATATTGATAGAGGGGTGGGTGAGTGATATCAACCAATCATAAGAACAAGAATGGCCTCGGAACCATATTTATTCAAGTCCCTTCCGTCCGTGAGTTATACTTTGAGACATTATACTCAAGGAACAATAAGGGAAAATTCTGATAGACGATCAAATTGACAGATATCATTTCTCGCTTCTTCATCTTACTCTCATGGTAGCCCCTTCATTGTCCTCTTAAGCCGCTACACTATACCTGCTATACTCACTTGTAGACTACAGCATTCATCGTCTTCTCAATTGAGCTCTCATCAAACATCTCGATGCACCTGCAACGACATCATCAATTTAAATGTTACACATCTGATTCATAACTCTGGTCGTACAATTGACCCGTATGTAATACCCGGGCTGCATATCACTCCAGGTCACCTGCAGAGTATAAACCATGTTCACATCCATCTCTCACTCAGCAACCATTGTTTGATGAACCAATCCATCGCCTTCTTAATGCTTGACCCTCCGCTCCTTCGCTGCAAAACCGCAACAGCCCATTCATCCACCACTAGCTCTTTTTTCCATATTCGCTTTTTTTCTTCTGCGAACTAGGTAAGGATTCTTAGAACCGATGGATTCATGGATCCCCATCAAAAGCAAGGTACCAACCAGCAAGTTGAGCGGAGACTAGTCGGCAAGGCTAGAAGCTGTTGAGATGAGTAGCCATGTTTTAGTTGGTTGCTGTAGTTGAAAGTCTCACTAGCTATAATAAGTAACAGTATAAATATTCCTCTTCACCTCAACCCTTTCTTGTTTCTTTTTTGGCCCTGTTCACAGGCAAAATCCCCGCGACCAGGGAAACAAAAGCGTGCTCAGCTTGGCATTGATCATTTTCGTACCATTACGACAACTTCATGGGCAGCGGGCCATTTTCATGGGTGATTAGAAATAGTGGATGCGAAGAAAACGATATCAATTCTATCATTTTATTCGCTAAGAGACTGGTTTGAACTTTGACTTGACTATTTTTCAACCCACCAAAGCTACCCTGGACCTTTTTCTCACCCACTTATATATACCTTCACTACAACCCACGCTTCATGCCAGAGATATGGTCAGGATTAGCATAGTAAACTACCTACCTAGTAACGCAACTCGACTCAATAAAAGAGACAATATAGGTTAAGTGTGCTGTAATGATAATTTGATTATACTCGGTACGGAGTAGACAGTAAACTAGAGTGAGACGGACGAGATAGCAAGCACATTAGAAATTGTAACCTTATGGTAGGTAACCCCCTCTTCTCGTCTAGCTGGCTAGGAAACGAATATTCATTAAAAAAAAGAAGAGAATCATCTATCTCCCTGACAACACCAGAGCGACAGGACCATTCAGGGAATATGATAATAGTGAGAAAATGAACTCCACTGGCGACACCAATCGATATCAATTGACACCAATTGACACATTAAATCCCGAGTTTCTTGTTTGCTTGGATACACCCTTAGTTAAATCGAAATCTTTTATCTTCAAGCAAATCCGCCCTTATTAAGACTTCTTTTTTAACCATCCACGACTACTAACTCTTTAGCTTTCGACCCGTCGGTGCCTTCTCCTCCATTTGCCCCCCTTCCTTAGGCTTGTCTTCTTCGACTAGACGCCACCAAGGTCCCCCGTACAATAATCTCGTTGTTGTCTTAACCATATCGAAGAGACAAAAGAAAGGTCAATCCCTCCCACACCACCTTTTTTCCCTCTTTATATTGTGAGATATATCTACGACCAGGGCCGACCATCTTTCAACCTACTTTTCGACCTTTTTTCCCCCGAAGAATCGATCTCGACCTTTATCTCGACCGATGCTAGTGGAATAACCCGGTTTAAGCCACCAAATTCACCCATTGACCGAGAGACATACCAAAAAGCAATACAATCCTTCCCACAGGCTTCGATGCACCAAGCATTCCAATAGTTCTCTCCGGACAACCTTCCCAATCTCTACAACTTCTCGCCAATCAAAAGAATTCTGCCGTGAATCACAGTTTGTATAGCAACGACATTTGGGCATCTCTTCCCCATTTGATTGTTTGCCGTCAATCTGGATCTTGAAGACTCTCAATTCATAGTACCCTTTATTATCACCTAAACGGAGCTTTCCTGCACTGGATCCCGTTGAATCAATTCAATCGCAAGTATAATTTTGAGAAGCGAATTCACTTCTAATCTCTCAGCCCATCAATCATGGAATCTTCACCCATAGCTGCAATGCAGCCTTCTTCTCATATGCCAGCTTGGGCTCGAAATGATTTGTATACTTCACACCCGCACGCACATATGTCAAACATCACTGCAAATTCTTTCGGTCCCGGAGCCTTCGACTTTCGGGATCTGAGCATGAAGCATTCTAAATCAGATTACTTCCTGATAAAACCCGTTCGTGGTTCTTCACCTACAGCAAGTTTGGCGGCAGATCTATCGCAGAATTTTCACATTGATATGAGGTACATTCAGTTCTAACTTCTTGCTTATCTTTAACCTCTGCTAACCTCTAATACTTACAGTCCTCAATTACCAACTCCTCGTCGATCTCTATTCACGTCGAATCTTTTTGGAACATTGGATGGCAGGGGTAAGAACTGGTTTACTGGAAGATGATACTGGAGATGTTAATAAAATACAGATTGTGTTACTACTCCTCCATTACCTTCCTCTTCACCAGGTCCATTGAACGAAAGAATGGACATTTCCCCTCTTCCCCATAAGCAACCATATTTCTGTGCGCAAATTGAGATACCATCACCTACACCAGCAGGTACAACAACGGAAGATACAACTATGGGGTCATCTCCAATTCGTCCTAGTTTATTGGACGGCTCGAAACCTTTTGGTGCCGAGTAAGTGTAAAATTACACATTCCAAAGAGTGCCGTACTAATATTAGCTACAGAAGAAGGAAAAATTTATTATTACGACCAACCTTCTCACGCACCAAAGGTCATTCATCCAGCTCTCTGTCCCGGCAAAACGTCGAAAGTCAATTGCCTCCCTTCCGCTTCGGTGCCGGAAGCAGCAAATTGTCTACCTCCACCACATCAATGTCTTTGGGCGAATGTTTTATGGAATCACCACCCCGAGAACGTCGTTCACAATCTGCAAATAGCCCTACCATGGCACCACCACCTCGACTAAGCAAACCGTTCTCAAGTGTGTCAAGCAGAGTCGTGAATGGATCACCGATTGGTAGTCACTCTCGCAGAACTTCTAATCCGTTAGTTCGGCCTAGGAAACAATTTCGACGATCGCTGAGCATGTTTGAAAGCCCACAAGATATCGTCAAGGAGAAGGAAAGTACGTCGAGCAGCTTGCATACCGTTATGGATATTGATGAGATACACCAACCAATTTTACCACATTTCTTCCAAGAAGGTCAACCTGATAGCATCCCCAGGATCGCCAAGGAGACTTTATTGGAAATTCTTGATGGGAAATACGATGATGAATATGATCAACGAATGATTGTTGATTGCAGATTCGAATATGAGTTTGAGGGTGGGCATATCGATGGTGCTGTCAACTATAATGACAAAGAATTATTGACCAGTCAATTGTTTGAAACAAGTATCCCTGGCAAAACCCTCCTAATCTTTCATTGCGAATACTCCGCACATCGAGCACCCATTATGGCTCGTCACGTACGACAACAAGATCGTACAACTAACGTCGAACAATACCCTAAGCTTTCCTATCCTGAAGTGTATATCCTCGATGGTGGTTATAGTGCTTTCTTCACAGAACATCAAGGCCGTTGCTTTCCTCAGAATTACGTTGAGATGGATGCTAAGGAACATGCTTACACCTGTGAGAGGGAAATGGGAAGACTTCGTCATAACAGAACTAAGCTCAGCAGAGCACACACTTATGCTATTGGCCAACACGGACAAATTGATGACAGCCCCACTGCCCCTAGTCGATCAAAATCAAGCGGCAGTATGTTAACGACAGAAATGACGAGTTCCCCTATAATGAGCTCTCCCATATTTTACGATCGAGGCCCACGAAGACAAGTCTCATACTAGATAATATCTCTTGCATCTTATTTGGCGTTTAGCATGGCATTGCATTCCCCGGAGTTTTTGGCTTTTTTTAAATTTGTTCGATTTTAACAAATATTCGGAACAGATTCCAACGATCAGTACAGCAGGTCATCTAAATACCCCGACCTGTGTTTTTTCTACAATCACTCACCGATTTTCTAACTTCTCGGTCGAGTCTTCTTTTAGTCGGTCTTCATCTGCGAAAGTTTTAACGGAAAGTTTTTCTATATCACATTTCCTCTGGCGTATTGGCGTGCATTTAAGAGTCTGTGTGTCTTGCTTGTCACACGTCTTTCATTCTCTAGGTTTAACCTAAACAATGCATCGGCATACATTTTGAGTTATCAGCGAGTCCTTTTTAATATCGACCATCGAGTCGATTCAGCGAAAAACAAACTTTTCTTGGATCAGGGATCCTGGGCCACCACAACATACTCTCTTTTGACAGGAAGAGCTCTTCTCGTGCTCACAAACACTTTACACGAAACTTTTTTTTTTATTACAATGAGAACGACCTATTCATGGGCGAAACACGATTACGCTATCATATTTCTTTTTGCCAAGCAAGTATCAACCTTTTAGTCTTGTCATCGACTGAAGAAACATTGTCTCAATACCCTCGACATCAACTCCGAATTTTCTACCTCTTGAGTCTTTCCAATCGTACATACATCGCTCACATATGCACGCTCACTTGTTATTTCTCCTTTTTCTGGATTCGAAACATTCGATTTGCCTTCAATTCCTTGTTCAATTATTCCCACCATATACCGATATTCACGAAAAACCCCTTTATAATTCTACTTCCATTAACGAATCGTTTACCTCTGGACCTTGAGCTTTACTCCTCCCTAATAATGCGTTTGTCATTTTCATGTATATTTGCAAAATTGAGCTTATTCACTTTTTCTCTTTGCTTTTACAGATGGATTGTCAAGAGATGGTGATTGAGATTAGGGATTGTTACAATATGGGATGTGAAATAATGGATGAATTGAAGACGAAGAGGGTTATATTTCTTCATAATAAGATGGTTTGAATGGAAGAGGTATTGTGGCTAGGCTTCTGCTACTTTTGTTGGGTTTAGAGAAACTTACTCTTATTTGTTTGATTGTATGAGTTGTGGAGTACTGGGAATAGGGAGAAGGAAAATGGTGATGGTGGTGGTGATTCATGGATGAAGAGACGCATATTGCAACCCCAAACGGGTATATGGGCATGAGTGTAGAGTTTTATCGTATGTTGATAGGACTACTACTACTACTACTACTACTACTTACTTCTTTCCTTACCGGTTTACTGGTTTACTTATTCCCCACGAGTGTTTTCTTCTTGAGAGTGGCTCTTGACGGATGTCTTCACTGTGTTGAGAGAAATGAAATGAGATATGAAATGAAAAAAAAACAAGTTAAAAATTTGTATTTTTAGTACCCTGATTGTTTGTGAGATTATGTATGTATTTGTGTATATAGTGAGACACATGTTTATAAATGAGGTTCATCAGCTGTTTGGAATGAAATGATAGGGGGAGGTTTGGGGTTTATTTATCTATCGCTTTTTTTTTGAATGGTAACCTCATAAATGCCGTGGAGAACTGAACTGTTCTTTAATAATTAAAAGATTAATACACTCGAGAGATTTTATATTATCTAATAATTAAATAGTTTCTTATATAATATAATAATAAACTCAGACATTGTTTAAAACCGTGACTGAAATCTCTAATAGATTTTATATGTTTAAATGATTCTTTAAACAATAAGGGAAAAAAACTAAAATATATATATATTTTTTCATTATTGTAAATTTTAATTTCAGTCCTATTGTTTTGTATTAGATATTTTGGTATTTTATTTATTTATTTATTTATTTAATAAGTAAGTAATATATATATACATAAAGAAAGAAACAAGTCAAGAAATATCGATGATATTAATATTAAACTAAACTATGTAGGAAGCTAAGATGCGGCGTGACGCGGGTGAAGCGGTACTTGTAAGGAGGGTGTTTTATGAGTACATCTTTTATTCTCTTGTGTTCAGATCGTGGGATAGATAAATGGATGGATGGGTGAGTAGATGGATAGATGGGGGGGAATCTATCACTCAGTTATCATTGTAAAGTTGGAAGATCCATAGTCTGCGAAACCCAGGGAATTCCTCCTCGACGAAGTCAAAGATTTCTGTTCCTTGACGCCAAGTACAGGATTTTCAGAATCTGGGTCTGGGAATACATGACCAGGGATCGGAATCGGATTTTGAAGACTTGGATGATACATCCTACTGCCTTGTTATTGATATTGTTGCGCTTGTTCAGAGACCCACGTCCGCGTAGCTTGTCCATTTGAAGGATCAGGTGAAGAAGGTAAGGAAACTGAAACTTCGGAGCAAGTGTCTTCAAAGCAGGTGTCTTCGGAGCATAAGTCTTCCCGCGATTCATTATTGCGTCTTGATGAGGAATTATGGTGTGCAAAGTTTCGTCTGTGTTCGATAAGTTTGGGGTAAACTCTTGGCTGAGGAATGTATGGAGCTGGAGGATTGTTGAGAGGAGTAGTGGTAGAGGATGTGGGATTTCTAGGTTGAACTGCGGCGGTGTATTTTGAAGAACTTTGTTCTGAAAAAGTGTATCTAGGTGAAGTATCACTGGTAGAGGCGAACATAGAGGATGCGGCATTTATTAGAGGGTATGCGCTGGAGAATGGCTGGCTTGTTGAGGAATAGGAAAGGTTCCTATTGCTCTGGTGAGGATTATACATGATTATGTTCTGTTATTAAGAAACGTAGACACCTTGTGAGAATTGAAAAGATATCGAAGTAAAATTGTGGCCAACTTGAGTAAGTAAAATGTTTCTAATTTTACTATTTCCTTTGCTCTCCCTGGAAAACTTGGAAGCCTAAATGCCCAATTTCGCATGCACATCTATAATTTTCAGTCATGATGTTAGGAAAATGACACATAAAATCATGGTGTCCATATATGAATGACTTTGAGTCTAGCAACATGACTCCACAAACACCATATCCCATCTGAACCACCTTGCTGTGTTTGTGCCTAGCATCGGCTTTTCTATATGGAAATCAAGAGAGACTTCTGATACTAATGAAAGGGTACGGACGAGGAAAAAGAAACACGCACTTAGAAACATATATAACAGACAGCGATATTCATAGAGAATGCATTTATTACTAGCACGGATGTAACAACGAACGTTCACGAACACCTACTGTCCTTCTGATTCCTGTGCGACGAAAAGGTCAGTCAAAGATGTTACTGCTGACTCTCAAACTAATGAGTCAAAAAGCCAAAAAGAAAAACCCTGCTCCAGAGAAAAAAGAATATTCATGCTAATAATCCCAACACGAATAGTTTATAACATATCCGAGAATTTCCATTCCATCCTTCTCTATACCAGACAGGCCCAGTTTCTTCCTTTTCACTTGACAATCATCCCAGATCCGAAAGCCCCCATTAGACGCCACAAATTCCATCGCTGAAATTGACATGATCGGGGCCTCGTACGCATCCGCCAATGACGAGAACCGGGTCCTCCTTTGAAAAACCGAAATTTGACACCCTCTGACTACATTATTACTCAGGTCATCAAGAGAGGCTCGTCGACCACTTTGAGGGATGGAGATGCCAGACTCGACCGAACTCATCAAAACACTAAGACCTCGCATTATCGGACCCAATAGGCTCGGTGAAAGCATAGCCTTCAAACCCATCAGTAATAAGAGGTCGGTTCGCTTCTGCATCAGAGACATCTGCAGCTTCTGAGAGTGTAGAGTTCATATCCGATGAGCGAGAGTTCTCACTGTGCCAAACACGTTGAGCCTCTTCATAATAAGGTGGTGGATCTGCCTGGTCAGAGCCACGAGGAACCTGACGAGAATGAGCCGAGTTGGATGAGTACTGCGGATTTATAGAAGGAACGCTGCAAGCCTCGGAGGGCTGTTGCGTGGAATTGCTGTTGTCTTTTGTGGACATATCTGCAGTATGAGGAAACTGAAGAGCTTGCTTGGGTGAGGAGGTACAGGAAAATTTTGATGAGCTTAAGTAAATGTATATTTAGATAACTGTTTCCGCTTCTTCCACTTGTCCTTCTACATCCGGAGAAACATCGAAGCTTAAATATTTTTGTGCTTAAATCGGTGGGTCAGTCACAACAATTGCGACGTATGAATATTCCGGTATAACAAACCATTCACGTAGAAGAAAAACCTCTCATGAGCTCGACCTTCTGAATTGAGGATGTCTGTAAATCAGAATTTTTATAGGCGATTGCTCATTGTGCTTCTGATGCGTCTACCGCCAAATTTTAACATTTTGTTTCGTTCAACCACCAGGCAAGCTAGGATTCTAATCTTCAAAGTGTTGCTCTGAATTAGACAGGCCTTTTCAGTACGTCATGAGTCTATCATCCTATTTTGCGGAGTGCGGATATAGAAAAGGGTGTGGAATGCCTTTATCAATTGACCCTTACGGCCGCTTCCCGCTCGCCAAAGTTATTTTGTCGTGATGCGAGAGTATCAGTATCCATCCGATGTAATGCAACAGCTCATACTCCTCCTCAAGCGTAATGACTCTCGGCAGTTGTAAATTCCACGGATCGTCTCTCCGTTCCATGCATTTTGTCAGCCAATTTAGCTTAGTAGAACAAGCAATACAAGTAATAGATGAGCCACCAGACGAGAAGAGCTTTGAATGGGTACGTGGGCCCCTCCACAGGGCATCCCGTTCAACAGCAAGGTCGTTCTCCATCCGCGACGGAGGTGGGCCGCGAATTGTGCGGCGTGCTTGCTCAAAATGGATCTTTCAGACCAGTTCCATTTCTCCCTTCTCAACATGCTCTCTAATATCCGACCATCTCGCAATTACAACCTCTCCTCTGCCAACATCTTTCACGTCGTCCCCGTCTCTTCCTCTTCCCAAAACGGATATGCTACCACCATCACCAGTGAACTCTTCATAACTTCCCGTACCTCTTGCAAATACAGCAGTATCTTCATCTGGTCCACTGATCATAGAAATGCCTCCTGCCTGATCGTTCAAGTTCTGTAGTGCAGCAGGAAAGCTTCCCAGGAAACTCGACAAGTAATGGCTGTGTAGTAATTGTTGATGTCTCGTGGCATACGCGATTTCGGTTTCCGATAACCTTGATCGAAGTCCTTCATCGCTCAGGTAGTGTAATGTATGCGCATCGATCTGCAATATACAAGTAAGCAAATGCGCCGCCGACTTATGGCCTTTTAAGCAAACCTTTGCGATTCTGGCTCTGACTAATCCCCTGATGAGGTACTTCCACCTCTCTAGTTCCGTCTGTATGCAAATGAGGCCAAAATTTGTCTTCGGATCCATATCTCCGGTCAATTCCTCTACCTTCTCGATTTGTCTTTTGATTCGTTCTGTAACTCGTTCGACAAGATTATTTGGGGGCCATCTATAACCTCAGCAGATGTCAGTCGGATTGTAATTAAGAAACTTATAAGACGCTCGAAGTCTTAGAAATTGTCGAAAGATAGGATAGAACCAACGGTAGAATCTCTGGAGCACCGCGCTCATTAATCCAAGCTCTTGTTAAGGACTGCAAGTCTGCTTCAGGTGTGTTTAATTTTTTTGGTCGCAATGCGTCCTCAAAGGGGTCATTGAGAAATTGGTCGATATCCATTGTTGGCTCACATGTAGATTCAGAATTTGTAGAAAGAGAGCACTTTGGGACTTGTAGGTGTGAGAGTTTAATTGAGGGGATAATTGAAAATGCCTTTCTGATGATAACTTCAAGCGCCAAATCGCGGGGTCGGCGCGTTTAAACGCGTTTCAATTTATGGGTCTAGTTTCCAAAACTAGGTGCGTTCATTATTGCTCCACAATTTATGATTAGCTCGCTTACGAGACCCAAAAATTAAGAAAGCCGAAAAGAAAAAGAATTGATCAAGACAAAAATGTCTGTTCCTACGAGTGAGAGAGTACATAAGTCAGTAGAAAAAAATGCAAAAAAATTGGTAGCTTCTCTTTGATTGAGCGTGTCATCCTTAGTGCAGGGGCCATGCTAATCTTCTCTGTATCGTTTCAAATTGACCACTATGAAATCGTTAGTTTGGATGTTGATTGTGAAGTGCTCGGTAAATACTTACAATGCCCGAAGGCGAAGAGAAAAGAGACATTTGAGATTATATACTACAGTCCGTGTCTAAATACAAGGCCAACATTTTTATCCCACACGAGCAAATATTCTCCTCCATGAATGACCCAATATGATGCAACCATTGAGATCCTTTCTGCCACTGCACTTCCCTCTTGACAAGATTAAACCGAATGTACCACGCATTTGGTCGTCGCACATGATTTCTGATCCGATTACAATCGCTACCACATCCAAAGGCGATGCTTTTTAAATAATTCCTGCGACCGCTGGAGGCAAGGCATCCATCTTCCCTCCATACTCTGGTATTTCTGGCACACATAAGCAAAACCTAGACGCATTGCATATTCCACTGCGATTCTTTAAACTTTTTCCTTTGAAGGCTATTTTTGGATGGACATGTCGTCGTCGAGTCTTCGCACACCGTATTGGTGGTTGGTCGTAATGTTTGCGTTTCTATCACATCAATTTCGGCGTCCAAATGACTTAACTTATATGAGAAGATTGGCAAACTGTTGTCTGCACACTTCCTTCTTTTGTCATGAAATGTGCATCGGGATAGCAGGGTAAGGCGTATTGGTAGGCGTTTCTGCGCCTGTGGGCGAACCCCTTCCCTTCATCGTGATAAAGGCTGCATCATTGCTTGGTCGGGCTGAAATAGAAGTACCTACCCTCTAATCAATCGCCAAATGGTCAGTAGCATTCACGTGGAGTAAGTTCCTCGATACGCTCAATACTTCAATACATTGACGGCTGCGCATGACAAAAGACATTGCTTCCGTCTAGAAATAATTTGTGGGCTGTTTTGGATGTGGGGTAGCAACCCCGCGTTCGTTAGGGCAAGACATCGGGTAGATGTAACCGCATATCTATCACCTATTTTCGAGATGTATGGTCGTTTGTCTCATTGCTTTAAGAAACCTTTGAGTACAATCTCAATCATAGATGAAGTCTCATCATTGGTTAACCATTTGCTTTTGAGTCTACCACCCCAAAGTCTTGGTGGTCCATGGAGCAAAGAAGAGAGTATGAACTTGTGCTACACATATGCGATGCACGTTCTTGGGATGCTCAAGGATGCTGTGGGGAGAAACTGCTAAGCAGCATGATCAATGTGGCTTGAGTTACCAGTATGATTTTTTTACCTTCACCTTACCGGTTTTCTGCAATGTAAATGGTCTTCTTACTTCCAGAATTGTCGCAGACTTCCTCACCCGGAAATGGCAATGTGCAAAAAAGGCGTTGCATTATTTTCGGAAGCATAATTGAGACTGCAGGTGATGGTAGATCAACGCGCAAACCCACGCATGGAAATTGATCTGTGAACATTCAGCACAAGATGAGAGTCATGCAGCAGGCGTAAAAGCGCAATTTGCTTAAGCAAGAGAAATCGCAATGATGGTTTTGAGCTGTGTCAATAGTAAGGGCTTTCCAGAAGAAAACTATATAATGAGCTTAAGAAGCTGTGCGGCTTTCCATTTACTGCAATTGTTGAGCTCATGGAAAACGTCACCATCAATTTTCGAGCCTGGTAGCATGATACGTTCTTCTGGAAAGTGCTAAGATATTCTCTATTCTTGACCAGAACTAATTCCTGCGTTTCGTGAATCATTCATATTTACAAGATCGAGTCAGGCAGTGAGGTATTTCTTTGAAGGCGGGTATTTAGTAAAAGCGATATCATTCATTTATTTTGATTCAGCGATTTTGTTCGTGTATTGTCCAGATTGAAACGGAAATCGATCCTGAAATTAAGCTTCAAGCAGACATTCACGCGTTGATGTCCCAATTGATTGAAAATCTCGGTGTTAGCAAGTGGCCCGAAGTCATCGATAGACGCCAAAAGGCAAGGATAATCAGGAAAGAACTTTTGGAAGATGAGAAGAAAAAAGTCCAGATGGATCCAGCTCACAAAGTGGATCCAGATATTGAGTTACAGTACTACAACGCTGTGAACGATGTCGGGATATCAGCCTGCCAGAGAAATGAATTTCTGCAAGCTCATGTCGACTTCAGCCAATGTTACGAGCAATACCAGAAATGGGGCAATGAGCAAACGCATGCACTCGAATATGCAAAGTATTACCATAATATGGCGTATGTACGTATGTATGAGGGCAAGTACAAAGATGCAATCGACCTTGCCCAAAAAGGTGTGGATCTGGTTGAACCAGGAACAGCTAGGTATTGCTGGTTTCAGTACGATCTGGCATGCATTATACTGCAATCTGGCAATCCGCAACAGGCGCTCGAACTTCATCTAAATGTTTTGAGCCTTGGCAAAGAAATATGCGGAGGACGCAGCAGCTTTTACCTTATGAGCGAGTATACTGTAGGTGCGATGTATCATCATATTGGTAACTTAGAACTAGCAGAGTACGTATATGTTCTTTGCCCCAATACTATCTGTTCTTGATATGTCGCTAATCGATTAGAAAATACATACGACTTTGCGTAAACAATGCCGAACAATATGGATGGAATAGAGAGCCTTTATCGCGAGCTCGATTACATCTCGCTCGTATTCTTAGAGGGGTTGATGAAATTGGTTTGCGCGACGATATAAGAAGATACGAAAAGATGCTCGGAGTGCTCTCGAAGAATTCTTGAAGCTCGAACTCCCAGACTATTTGAAGGGAGACAAAGATGAGCTAGCAATTTTTGATAACTTTCAGGGCGTGTGGAACGCCAGGTTCACAGGTCGTCTATTACTGAGGTATATCCAAGACCACCATGGTATTGTGAATGCCACTTGAAGAAGATTAGAGTGATAGGGAACGGATTCCTTGGTTGTTCAGAGCACAATATTTTGTCAAGTAAGCGCAGTTTTTTCATTTCCTACTATACACAATTCTGGTTTCAGCGCAAGCACTTATGGAGCGCCGGGCACGAAAATTTAATCTTAGGAATAGCAGGCATTTTTACATTAAAGCAACCAAAACAAATATTGGTATGATGAAGACCAGCTGTTTATGGAAAATATGTATTCCGGGCAAATTCTCAATTCTGACTACAAAATTCTTGAAAAGAAAAACTTTTAGTTCAGCAGCACTGGTTATGCTCGAACTGTGCTCCCAAAAACTTCTGAAGGCATCCCGATATAAACAACAAAAGTTCCGTTCCATCGCTTCATGATCACTTCACTACTAGATGTAGAACCCCTTCATCTATTCCTTATGACGACTAGCCCAACCATCGAATACAAAGGTTTGCGGCCCTTAAGTCGGGGAGTTAGTCAGCAATGCAGAAATATTGGTATATTGACACCAACTACTCAAGCAGCTAAAGTCCCTTCTGCAGCACACAACGTCATTCAGTCTTATAAAAGATGGACAAGTCCTCCCTTACGGCGAAATCAGGGCCGTCCACTTCATCCCTCAATTTCGTCCAGGGCTGAGCACGGCTATCCTGAGTTTTGGCTACTTGAATCCAAGTGAGCGGAGCCGCAGAGCTTTTCGTGCACGGAATGCTGTTAATATTTGATTCGCTCTCGTGATTGCTAGTGAAGTTGATTCGTCCGTCCGTATTGGATTGTGACTGTTGAATTGTAGAAGTAGCAGCCATGACCTGGGCCATTTAGGAAATATCAGGGGCAAAAATTAGTATGGTACGTTTGCCTTAATAGGCTGGAAAACTTACTTTCGAGCTTCCAGTATTTCTCAGCTATCTTAGGTTGAAAACAACGATCTGATGGATCTGGGCGATTACTGTATTCTGTCACTCGAAACTGCGACTGAGATAAATTGTAAAAATGGCGACGCAAACTACACAGTGTATATAGCCAGCGATGAAAAGCTGAATTTGGGTAGAAAGAGTGGAATGGAGGAAAATCTCCTTTCCACCAGAGTTCGGCTTCTTAACACCACCAATGAATTTAACAGGCCAATGCCTGTGGTTCTCGTGATCATTCATCATCTGAATAGGTGGAATCTCCAGTGACAGTGCTTGCATATCAAAATGCAGCTACGGTTCATGATTCTGTGATTGGGGGTCGGGTTCACTATCGGCTCAGGCACGGCATAGGGCAACAATGAATGCACATGTTATTGGTGTACTGCGAGGACAAGGATGCTGATTCGTATGTGCAAAATCGGTTCTGAGGCTCTTGTTCCACAAGAACTGAGGGCTGAGAGGCTCTTGCCAAAATTTCAGGTAGTTTGCTATCCCCCCCATTTTGCTTGTTTGTGGTAAGAAACCAAATGGTATAACACAGCTAACCCAAATCCTGAACTACTACAATATCGTTATTATATCTATTAAAAATGAGTAAAAATGTCAAAGAACTTGGAGGCTAATATTCTCTACTTAAAAGCGTTTAGAATTGTATGATAAGGAAAAGCCATTCCAGCTTTTCTTCGACATTCCTGAAAATGCAACTGACAAAAGACCGGAAAATTTACACTTTGAGGAACTTTCAAAGCTCATTACTGATATGCGACCAGATGTTTTGAGCTTCTCTTTGGATGAACAAGGATTCATGATTCAAGAGCATAACACCAAGTTATCCTGGGAGAAGTTTGTAAACCGCGAGAAGGTCGAAGAAGTTTATGTTCCTGAAATTGAAGCACTCTTGAGGCAGATTGATCCAAGCATCGATCGTGTTTATTTCCTCGACTCGAGAGTAAGTCAAGCTAATCATGACATTCTGTGGTAATATCCGCAATGCTGACTAAAACCAATCACCTGCAGCACCGTTCTAGTGAACTCGCAACAGAAACCAAAGAAGGACGGATAGACATGAACAACTTAACATCATTGTTGCATCCCGCTCGAGCTGTGCATGTAGGTAGGTTGCACGCTATTCTGTTGTATATTTCAATACACTGGGTCGCGTTGTGCTAATTGTAGTCTGAACAGATCAGAGTCCCGCGGCTGTGTTGCATCGTGTTGAATTGCAACTGCCAAATGAAGCCGAGTTCCTGTTGCGAGGAAGAGTAAGGGTAATCAAGTGCGCAAAAGCATCAAAGACATGAATGAATCTAACCGGTGAGATACGGTGCATGGAAGCCCCTGGTCGATCCTGTGGAAGTTTGGCCACTGGCGATATGCGATGACTCAAGTGTTCGCAACGAAGACTTGGTGGAGTGTGATTAAGCCAGACGACGCTTTCGAGGGGCAACAATGTATGCCCATGATAGTCCGGATAATCGGTGGTACTACCTGAGTGAGCAGAAACCACAAGAAATGCTCTTTATGAAGATGCTCGATTCTGCTTCACATGTAAAAGCTACCCGTGAGTTGACATAAACCTGGCCAATTTCATCTTTCGACCTTCATTGACTCGATATACAGGTTGCCTACATGGTTATTTCAAAAACAACCACTGCCGAGTTCGTTGCCCCTCCGCGGCGAAGTATTGAATTGAGGGCACTGGTGTTCAACTACCCGAATCGAACAAGTTAAAGAGTGATGTATACAAGGGAGAAATTCCTTTCTAGTGAGCCTGGAAGGGGGCGCATTGATGATTCTGACCCGAAACGTCACGATAGCAGGCTTTTGTATCATTACTATTTTCCTTGAGACCTTCAAGACAGCAGAACCGCATCAAATATCACGACTGATTGTTGATCATGGACCGAAATTGATTCAGTGCTGATGTCCAGCGTCTTTTCCAGAAGTCCAAGTAAAGTTCGTTTGTAGCTAATCAATATTAATCCAATATCCTGAGCCAAATAAGGCCCCCTTTTCATTGAGTAGTATGTCGTATTTCAATACGTCACGAGTTTATGGGCTTACGTAGATATCACTTCTCCCAACCGAGCTATTGAGCCAAACTTGTCGAAGTCCAGGCTGAGCGGCTACATCTATTACTCGAAACCCCGCTTCTAGAGCTTCAGCTACCAACGTGGATGTCTGCTTCTTTTTCCAAGCTGTGCCATAAAGCATAGGTGGATGTGGAAAGGGTATGTATGCGGACGAAGTGCGATGCGTATCGTTCGCAGTCATGGCGTACACGGGGAAAGTTTATTTTAAAGAGCGAGTGAGTTTAGGTGTGTGGAGAATAAAAATAGGTGCAGTGCCAACTTATTGTATAAATAAGCAGGTATTGCCGAGCAAAGAAAAGCGCCAGACCATGTGATTGGATTGATTATTCTCGTCTCAGCCAAGGTTTATTGCCGAAAGCTTAGTACGAAGTATAAGTTTCTAATAATAAAATAGAAGATAAAATAAATTTTTTATATAAATAATTAATAACATTTAAGAAATTTCTAAATTTAATTATTTATTAAATATTAAAATTATAAAACTTTTTATAATATTATTTAAATAAATATATTAAATAAATATAAATTAAATTTTTAATTACTTCTTTAATTTTTATTTAAATATATACCTTTTTTAAAATTAATAAAAGATAATATAAATATAATTTTATACCTGTCAAAATCTAATAATCCTGCCAGCCAACCTCTTCCAATCGTCCTTTCTTTCCCACAACTTCGTTTGCCATTTTCTTTATATAATCCTCCATCTTTCCAAACACGACACTATCACTGGTCCCTATTATCCTAGCGGCCAATAATGCTGCATTAACACTGTTATTAATCGCAACAGTTGCGACAGGGACTCCTCTCGGCATTTGTACTATGCTCAGGAGACTGTCCATTCCATCCAACGTACTACCCTTCACTGGTACTCCGATAACTGGAAGAGGAGTTTGCGCAGCGATCATACCAGGTAAATGGGCAGCTCCTCCTGCAGCAGCTATGATGACTTTGAAGCCGTTGGAAGCTGCATCGCGTGCAAAATCTGCCATGAGTTGTGGTGTACGATGTGCAGATGTGATAGTAAGGAAGTATGGGATTTGGAGAGAATCGAGGATAGCGAGACCGGGCTTTAGGACGGGTAGATCTGAGTCTGAGCCCATGGTAATAGCGACGAGTTTTTGTGCGGAGGATGAGGTTGAGATTGTGGTAGATGTGGATTTGGGGAGACCTTTACGCTCCGCACGCATGTTGTCACTAAGGGTGATTAGGGGGGAGGTAAGCTGTTCGGCTTGAGCCATAGAATTGCCAATGACAGTGATGTGCCCGATTTTGCGCGCTGGTTTGGATTCTTTTCCATACATATGGAGATTGGCTGTGGGAATTGCAGCGGCTTGTTGCATTAATTCTGTGTGGGAATCCTTTGATGCGCCGCCGAGGATGTTTAACATGATAGTTGCGGGAAACATTGAAGGGATAGTCGAGCTAGGAAACGATGGCATAATGCCTAGTATCGACAGGAGCTGCGATTTATATTGTGACATTGTTGGGCATGCTTCGATTGTGTAATGTCCCGAGCTTTAGTAGGATGATGTCAGTACTCGTTTGGTCTCACCATTGAATTTCCAGATCAAGGCACTTACTTATGAGGTCGAGGAGCAATCTCATTGACCAGCAGTTGACCATCTTCCATAACAAACAGCTCAACTCCAAAAACACCTTTGCCCCAAAGACTTCCCACTGCTTTTCGCGCTAAGGCTTGTGCTTTCTTTTGAAGATCACTGGAAATTCCTCTTGCTGGGGCATAAACTAATTTGCAAATGCTATCTTCGTGAATTGTCTCGACAACCGGGTATGCGATGGTAGAGTCCCCATCTTTGGAAACCTCATTTTCAGTCTTCACAACCATAACCGCAAGCTCCATTTTGAAGCTTGCCCATTTCTCAGCATATAACGACCTATCCTTTAAAACTTCAAGGGCGTTCTTGATATCGGACTCCGACTTCACCGGACAATTACCTCGTCCATCGTAGGCATCTTTCCTTGCCTTCAGCATGAATGGGTACCCGTGCGTGCGACCAAACTCCTCAAGGTTTCCAGCTTCAACCGCCTGTGATGTCGCAGTTTGTACTCCGGCTTTGATGAGGTGCTCCTTCTGTAAATACTTGTCCTGAATGACTCGCAATGTCTTCCAGCCTGAGCGTATATTAGTGTTGTCCCATAGTTTAAATCAAGGTATCCACAATGAAAGACAAGATGGACACCTACTGGGTTGCACTTCCACCCCAGAATTTGCCAGCTCTTCTAATACGTATGTGTCAACATGTTCAATTTCCACTGTCAAAACATCGACTTTCTTTGCAAGTTCGCGGATTTTCTCTGCGTCAATGAAAGAGCCATCGAGATGGTCGTTCTTGGCATTTACTTGTTTAGCAGGAGAGTTTGGTACATCAAGAATGATAACCTTAACACCAAGAGGATTTGCAGCTTCGCAGAGCATCTGCCCCAGCTGTCCTCCTCCCAACAGTCCTACAGTTTTCTCCATGATATCGAATGGAGGGGGTGATGGTGGGGACGATGATGCGATTCGAGGTACTTTGATAAAAGTAAGGTTGACTTGAGCTGAGGTGTTAGATTTATGCAGATTTGGCAATCAAATCAAACGAAGCAAGTAATCTAGCAATTCAAATGAATAGCGGTTTGTGCGAAGGGTATATTTTCTTTTGATTGAAGAGCTGGTTTTTTTTTCCCCCAAAATCTGAGTTGGGGTAATTTGATTGACTGGCAGAAAGAGCCTACATTAGTTCACCGCTTGCACGTGCTAAAAGCGGTGAGTTTTCGGAAATCCAGTTTAATGTTATCGATGTTTTCCTTAAACTTCTTTCTCCATGTCCAGTCTCGTTATGTGTAATAGTCTTGCTCCTAATATACACTTTAAGAACAGCCCTCTATTGTGCAAATGCAGTAGAATCAATCCACTACAAACAACCAGAAAAGTCTCATGGTAAAGGAAATATATGATCCAAATCCTCCCCGCTCCTACTTAGAGAACCCCATTCAAGATTTCGTTATCAAAAACACTACCAGATTAAATTTACATCTTCTTTCCTTCACGACGTATCTTCTGAAACTCCAGATTTGTCCCCCAATACATGAGCTTCAGCCCAATACTCCCGTTGCCACGGCCATATCTCCTCCGTAGGTTTCCACTCCCAAATTGCGCCCGGCACTTTCTTCCATTCTCCACACCACCACTTCCAATCCTCAAGAGTCGGTATGAGATACTCTGGAAACCACAAACAGTTTTCTCTCCACGATTGACGCCGTGGAGAAGCTTTCACTGGTATCGGTAATTTTGTCGTTGCAATGTCGTCTCTATCAATCGCCCAGAGATACTCCCATTCTCCAAAAAGATAAGGCTTCCTCTCTCCATTTTCCGGCACTGTGTACGCTTCATCGATAAACCCCATAACCATCCAGTCATCAACTCGTTGGTTCGGACCTTCAGATTGCAAAATGAGCTTCTTTGCATATTCGATAAAGGCCTCTGCTGCCTCTTCGTACAAATTTTGACGATCTTGAGTGAGATCCTTGCAGGAGGTAGCTTGGGTACGGCATCTGCTTCCGTTCATGGAAGCAACTCGATTCATTAGTTGGTCGGCTAGCAGAATTTTTGTTTTATCGAAACCATTGTTGGCTTTTCTTCCGGTGAGACTGGTGTTGCGATCAAGGTTACTGGGTGTGGTATTATGAGTCGTCTCATTAGGAAAGTAAACTTGGCTAGGTGGTGGAGTCGCCGAGTCAAATGCATAGGGCCACGTTATAGACCATCGAGCGGGCCACCAGGTGGATGTTTGTGATATTTTGTCGTTACAGTCCTGGATATTGTCTTGCGCGTTGTCGGGCCGCTCTTCCAAATTATTCAATTCAGCACGGTGATGGCTATGGAGATGTAAAGCTTGTTCGTTCGGCCATTCAGGCTCTGCAGACTCCATGGTACCGGTAGTCTCGCTGTTCATGCCTGGGACAAACTCCTTTCTATCAGGTAAATGTGCTTGTCTAGGCGGTGTAATTGTCGTTTGGCATTCATTCGTCCATTTGGTAGATGCTAGCGCTATTTCGTTGCAAGCGTCTTTGTTATCATATTTGGTATCATCGAGATGGAGCTCTTCGAACTTGTCTATTCCAGCAAGGTAACCTGTAGAGCTATACGAAGAAAGTTCTTCTATAGGCCATTCAGCTTCTGCAGACTGTAAAATTGACAAGTTAGCTTTTGCGGAAATGAAGAATCAGAGCTGCGTGAGAAAATGAAAAGGACGAAATTTGTGATTTTGGAGCATGGGTTTAAAGAGAGGATTGAACTTACATCCTTCGATGGGACGAGTGTAACGTCAAACATTTTGAGTAATGGACATGTTGTTTATGTTATGATAAAATGTTGTTGGTTTAAATGGTTTGTTCCTTTGAGGGTCAAAAAATGTCGAGGTGAAGAAACTATGCAACAGTGGTGATGAGTCCTATGAATAATTCCTTTTCCTTTTCCGTTATTTTTGGATACATGATTGGACCCTTGTGAGTTCAATTGTATGACTCGCTGCGGAAAATTCGACCATGAGTCAATAAATGTGCTGTATTAATCATCTAGTAGTCAATTTAATGACAATCGCGCCTGAATTTGGATTAAAATGTGTGATTAACAACTATCAAATTTGCACTAAATACAACGTAGTTCCAGATATTTCCCAAAATCAAACATTATGCGAACTTCAAGAGTAGATCGCGAATTTTACAATTAACTGACCCACTTTGCCCCTTTTCATCCAACTCGCTTCTTTTCCGTCACTAGTTCAACTGGCTTCTTTTCCTCAACCCTCCACTTTCGGATTCGCACTCCTCATCCAGAAGAGTCTCGCGAGTCTCGTTTGATTTCAGCCTATAACAACATTCCTAAGCCTTATTCTTTCCTTTCATTGCGACCTTATCCTCCGAGCAATCATAGATATGTCCCTCACAAGACCGACGGATCGAACTCTGAGGAGATAAGATTCTGGACAAACGCAAAGGCCAATCAGGATCGTTTGGGATAGTTGTGGTGTCTGGCTTGAATAAAGGAGACATCTTGGCTGCCGTTTCAATATGGCAGTCGACTTCCTCTTCGATTTCCACTTCGACTTCCTTTTCGACTTCTCCCTGACTTTATCCGCGGGTGATTCTTTGGACGATTTCTTGAATAATCTTTTGGAGGAAGTGAAGGGAATGTATTTCTGAACCCTTTTTGGGAAGCTTTTCGGATTTTATGGAATGAGATTGATATCGGTTGTGTAATGATATCAGTCGTACGAGGTTGATCTTCTCCAATTGATCCGCTCTGCTTCATCTTCTCCATCTTCTTCCTCTTTTCCATCTTCTCCTTTGCCTCAACTCGTTTATCCACTTTACGTAATCTTTTCCCACCACTTGGAGATGAGGAGTCTTTAGGTCTTTGCGCTCTTAATTTTTGAAGTCGGGAAAGATGATGTTCAGAAAGCTGCATCACTGGCAAGCTCATCATACCATCTTGAAACACGTTGCCTCTACATAATGGAGCTGATGATATATCCGATATTTTCTGTGCCTTTGGGGTTGTGGATGAACTGGAATTCGCTGTGATTGTTGCATTGGTGGTAAAGAATGCTTTTTTTTGTGGTATTCGAGTGCAGCTTTATGACTAGCGAGTTCTCCTGGAGCTTTGGAGCGGTGATGGAAGAGGAGCATTTTGGCTGCGAGAATAATCTGTGGATGGATCTATTGTTCGGTTGTTTGTGATGTTGTTATTCGAGCTCGGACAATGGGTAAAGTCTTCTGGTCTGGTCGGTCTAACTAGGTCGATCTTTGATGGTGAAGGTACTATATATAGCTCTTGAAGTCATATTTTGCTGACTCTTTGGAATGTGTAGAATCATCAGTGTATATCTAAAAGCAAAAATCCCCCTTTGAAATCTCAGAACAATAATGCACAGTCATGAAGAATGAGTTCTCAATTCAAGATGCGTGGGTACCCGAATAGAGAAACAAAAATACAGTGAATACAATACTCACCCACTATAAAAAATGAATCAGCTCAACCTGAACCAAAAAAACATGATACCACAATAAAAATTCTCGGAACCCAAACTCTTACACCGAACCAGATAAGTCGCTGACATATCCTCGCTATATCCCCTAAAGATCTCAACCCCTCCAACAATCTCGCCTCATTACCAAACGATAAATACTCACACACAACTCCCACAAATATACCACTCCCCTATACAAAAGTCAGCGCCTGAAAACACCCTTTATTAGATACGTAATCCATACCGAAAAATCACAGGTTCGGACTCAAGATTCCTTACTTTTGAGGTTGCTCCAAACCCAAGACATTTTTAATTTGTTCCATAGCTGTAGGAGGAGCAGAGGCAACAAGAGCTGGATTTTCCTTTCTGGGAGTTTCTAGGCTTTTAGGATCTTCGGGTTCTTCTAGGCCGAAGGTGCTGAAGGAGGTGTATGCTGGTGGTCGATGAGGAGCTTTTGGGTTTTTGTCGTCACTCGTCGGTTTGGAATTCGGACATTTTTTGATGCGGTTTGTTTCGGTTATTTGGGTTATGGTTTCTTTTGGGGTTGGAGGCGGAGTATGGATAGAAGCGGCTGGTAATGCGGTGTCTGGTAGTAGGTTTTGGACGTTCATGGAGGAGTCTGTGGTTAGATTATGCATGGCTAGTGATGCCGTAGTAATTGGAGAGCTTAGTGTATAAATGAGTCGGAAGTGTTTGAGTTCTAGATAGCAGGTCATAGATTTTGACTTTTGTGTAGGCTTGTTGGAGGAATTGCAAATGATATAGTATCAATTATCAAAAGATTTGGATTAGAAGATGGAGGATTTGTTATAGCTTCGGAAACCGATACTAAACGTGAATGGAAAGTTGGTCGGCATACCTACATTGAATAATAAATCGCCCCATTCAGCGTGAATTAATACTTCCTATCTTACTGATATCATCAGAGCAGAGTTGCGGGTAGTCAGAATCCGCGCTTGGCGCCGTGTCTTTAATTTCACGGCCAAATGATACTCCATATGACAACACATTCACATCTTGCGTGGACTATGAAGATATAGAAAGTTAACGTCTCGAGTTTTAATATCTTGATTTGTATATGCCACACAGGTAACTATTCCTTCTCCGCCGACAAGGCCATGGATGCAAGATCCTGGGCACAACAATGTCTTGACCAAACCATCAAAACTAGCGTAAGTTCCTATCACATATTTCTACTTCATAAAACAAAAGAACAAACTCGTTAGACAGTTGGCTCTCCTTTGCCTGTCATCATTTCCCTCCTTCACGATCTTCATATCTCCCAATACCCTTTGACCAATCCGTTCCGTGCTAATAACCGTCTTCGCAGCATTCTCGATGTAACGGCGAGTGGGGGGCGCGTATTTCCCGAGGATAATTGTATGTATTCGAGCTTATCATTGAGAGGTGGAGGCGATAGACGTGTGCATAAAGTATTTAGACTCTGTATTGCTATATGGAACATGATTGCAATTACAGAGATGTGTTGTTTGAGAGTATATTTTTGATCAAAGGTGCTAAGGTACTTGTGAAAGATATTTAAAGAGATGGGTGGAGTAGAGGTTTTCTCGTACAATTTGGATCACAGACTGTGACATAAGTCAAGTCATGTCTTACTCATTGGGATAAAATATAACGTATGTATAACAAAGACCCAGTGTCAACATCGAGGAGTTAATGGTGCCATCAAGCAGGAATTCGAAAGCAATCGAAAAGTGGGAAACCCTATGTTTCTAGCACAAAATCTGATTCTGCGTGCCTCCAACGAGCTCCAGCTTGCCAGGCTCTGACTCTAAAGGTGTTCAATTCTATTTGATCGTTTCGAGAACCGTAAAAGTCAATGAGAGCATTGCTGAATAATTCGTTGGACCAATCCAGCTCCTCAAGCCGGCGTGGCAATATGGCCTTGTCGTGATTTCCATAGACAGTCTCAAATTCCATTATTTGGTATTTGATCAGCTGCGCAATCATCCTGTGCTTTGCATCCTGTAAGTCTTTTCCGGTCAACGGATTCGGGAAAATCTTAGGAATAGGTGGCGCTTTGTAGATATTGTTGTCGCCAATCGATGCGGATAATTGTTGGAGCCTTATGATGAATGGAGAATATGGAATGTTAAGAAATTCATTTAACTTCTTCTCATAGCCATACCATAAAACTTCTACGGCAAGAGCGGGCAGGGGGGGGTTTCCCATGCGAGGAGGATGCGTGGAAAGCCAAGATGTCGTTGTCAGGGGAATGGCTGGGTCTTCATCAGGTACAGAATCCTTCAATAGCATCATGTATTTTTCGGATACTAACCCGACTTCTGATACAGCCATTGCAACTTTGCCTGAAATTGAAGAGTTTTTATAGATATGTCAAGAGAGTTTGACAAAAATATAGCTCTGTCAGCTTTTTGAAGTATCTTTGAGGACGTGGAGATAAAGGCGTTGATATAGGAGACTATGTAATGTGTATCTAAGATGCTGATGTAACGGTAGCCGATTACTGAAATGTTGAAGAGTTGCAAGGCGTTTCCAATAAAGTTTGATTCTAATAAAATAAGCTTGGCGAAGAAGATACTTATGTACAAAGGCTTAAAAGAATTATGATTCAAAAATAAATAGGGCTATGAATGTTTTGAGCAATATGACTCCAAAAAAACGTGGTATGAATATTTTTTAGAACCATCATCGCACCGCCACTTCTCCCTGTATTACTACTCTACAGAGAGTTTGGCATACTTCAAGGTTGTGGCTTCATAGTATAGAACAGCGTATACCCAAGCATTAAAAAAAACCAGTGGCATCTTTTTGGGATGGTTGTCTTTTTGGGAACTGCCTGATGTACTCGAACAACCAAAAAAAGAGATTTCTTGATTCAAGCTTACAATAATCGTAATCTCGACATTCTTCATATGCTGAGGGTTATCTCCCTCCGGCTGATCCTTAACTGCACAAGCAACATCGATTTTCGGTTTGATGAGATATCCGCACAGGCAATGTATGATCCTGCACCCAATCAAGGCCATATAACCTCAGCCGATGTATGAAATAGAGGGATTTAGGTTGCATTGTTGTAATTCATAAATGATAAATTTCATGCCAACTTCCATTTCAAATACTCCAGGGTATTAAAACATGATCCAACCACAGACTTAATACCATCAACGCTCGAATATGCTGGAGGTGCTTCTTCCATCTAAGTCGTTGCATCAACAGCCGGTGACCTGGCCATTTTTCCGTTATCAATTACCTATCGTGGACTGATGATTCCAGGCTGCTAGCAGATGCCTTAGGAGGGTGTCCTTGGATATTGCTGTATTCGGATCGTTATGAAGATGATTCGATGTCTTATGGCTTGATGTGAAAGAGGAAGATAGTCCCAGGAGTAGTAAGGGAAACGAAGTTGCTTTGGCATGAAAAGAAAGGATCGTGAGAAGAATAAACTCTAGGATCCGTTTGCCAACTTGGCGGGTAAAATATACAAAGCAGTAGGTGCACACGAATATCCACGCGACATAGCTATCACCTGATGTAACTAAACAAATCCCTCCAGAACGCAGAACAAAATAATAGTGGTTCTCATATGGCAAAAGGAGATACTTCAGGTATTGCTTAAGATATGCCTGATATATTGAAACGCCTGTGATGCCCGTGTTGAAGCTCATGGACAATGGGCGTTAATAATAACATCATCGTGCTTCCTTTTCAGTCAGCCAAACGCCGTCAGTACCATGTACCAAGAAACCCTCTCGCCTTAATTGAAGTTTGGATACCTAACAGACTGACCAGAAGCTTAAGCCAAACATAGCGAATATTATGCCGCCACCAAACCTGCGAAAATCGGACGAAGTAACAAAGCATTTATTCTTAACTAATTTCCATCATTCGAATATGGTTTTGGTTCCCACGTTCAGAGAACATTACCTACGAAGGATGGCTCGAAAGATGTGATTATAGGACTTTGCAGAATGTCAGCATTATTGCAGCCTTACCTGCTTAATGTTCTTGAACGAATATTCCCAGGCCTTATAAAACTAAGTTTACAATCAAATGCTTTCTTAAGCCTATATATCTGGAATTTTAAAGAAGTATATTTTAATGTTGAATTTATTTCGTCCAGCGCGTGATACTTAATTGGTTCCATTCCCCAACTACCTATCAACGCCTGACGTCTAAACCAGAATACACATAACGTAAAAATCACGCGAAAATTGCGTCCCTAACTGAACTGCTTTCCTTCTACCTATATCATAGACCTATCCACGATACTGCTCCCTCAACGCCATCAACTGTGCTCTATCAGCAGGCGGCAAACTATCGATTAATTCCTGTGGCATCGCCATAACTTGCGCCATCAGGGCATTTGTATCAGGCTCAGGGATCTGGGCTGGTGGCGGTGGAGCTTGTCTTTGTTGTGGAGGTGGCGCATAACCTTGGACTGGAGGTGTACCCATTATTGGCATGCCCATTTGACCTGACATATGTGGAGGAGGTGGTGGGTATCCAGGAGGGTATGCCGATCCTCCGTATTGGGGAGTTGACGCAACTGGTGGAGGAATGTTTGAGCCAGGAGGAGCTGATGATGGCGCTGCGATAGATGACTCGATAACGGAGGAGAGCGCTTCGGGTTGAACGAGACCCATGAGGAGAAGCGCTTGGAAGATGGCGTAGGAGAGTTGAGGGGCCTGGTGCAGGAGTTCAGTGGCTTTTTGGGGGTCGGTCGAGGCGAGGGTTTTCATTTGGGAGAGGACATCAAGAAGTTGGGATGGGGGAAGGGTGTTGAGGGTGCGAGATATGGCGTCCGGGCAGTTGAGGCCTTGAGGAAGCTCAACACCTATTGGCAGAGGCGGTAGTGAGGATGTGTTTGAGGGTTGGGTGATTGGGAGGGATGGAGGTGGGACCGGGAGACCATTTGTGTTTAGAGGTGGAGGTTGATAGGTTGGTGCAGACTGTTAAATACAAATTAGCAAATTGCTGTCCTTAAGAGACCGGATTTTGGTAGAAGAAAAGCCCAACACACATTTTCCTCTTCACCACCATCGTTCGAGAAATCAACGCGCAATTTTCGGTTCATGATTTCGTAGTCATTCAAATTCCTTACTGCAGAAGCCGCAGAATCTAAACGCGGCGCGCAGAGCTATTAGCAATGTAACCATGGATGCGCAAAGTCGCAAAATGAATATGCAGTGTACTGCACATACCTGAATCGGGATATTCTGCGAAACCGAAGCCTTTTGGTCTGCCTGTTTCGCGATCATAGACAAGTCGAAAATTAATAACGTTTCCTGCACTACTGAAGATATCTACTATCTGTTCCTCGGTAAGGCCTTTTAAGGTGAAATAAATTAGCTTGGTACAGTAGAATAACGAAGGCCAGGAAGAAGGAGTAACAAGTTACCATAAGGAATATTTCCCACAAACACAGACTTAGAAGGTGGTTTTGACATGTTGGAAGAGATGATAAATGTTCCAGGCTATGGATTGATTGATGTATGCGATGGAAATAGTTGAGATGGATTTTAGTTGCAAATACTCGACTTTGAGAAAGGAATGCAAATGGATTGATCACTTCTTTTGTCACTGCAAAATTGAGAAAAGGCACAGAAAGTCTTTGAAGAAGTGATTTCTGGCTACTCTAAAAATCCTTCTTGCTCTCTTCCCGTGAGCACTGACTGACAATCCAAATTTCTCTTGTAAATGATGGAGTAAGAACGTTCTGATGAGAATGCCTCTGTTTCTGAGTGAACCCGATTTGTTTATGTTGTTTTGAGCAATTGGAAATGAAGAATAACGTCCCTTGACAGAACTCACACTAAAGGTCCAATTTATTTAGTTCATCGCGCTTCACGCTTCACGACTTTCCCTTGGCGTCAAAGCTTGTGTGGAGTGAAAGGTGCGGCTAAATTGAAAATACGCTAGGACGGTTTTCGTTGATCTGATCGTTGAGCTTCCCAAGTACCGGCACCCCTCTCCGCACAATATACTCTCCTCAAGCCCCACCACAATAATCTCGCACGTCGATATTGTTTTCGTCCTCTCAAAGACCGCCATCATGTCGAATAATCCACAAGATGTTTTCAGGAAGTTGCAGAGAATGGCAAGTGAAGCGGGCAGAACTGGTGGCGGAGGACCGGCACCAAAGGGAATAGCAGGTGGAATGGCTGCACTCATTGGGTTGGGTGGAATCATGATCGTTGGAAACAATGCCCTTTTCAATGTTGATGGTGGTCACAGAGCTATCAAATATACAAGATTAGGTGGTGTTGGCAAGCAAATTTATAGTGAAGGTATGGTTCTCATTTTTCTTAGGCAAACAGGTCTCCAGGAAATAATGTGCTGACGTTACGATTCGCATTCTAGGAACACATTTCAAGCTCCCATGGTTTGAAACTCCTATAGATTACGATGTTCGAGCAAAGCCACGCAATGTCGCCTCCCTTACTGGTACGAAGGATTTACAAATGGTAAACATTACCTGCCGTGTCCTCTCAAGGCCTCGAATCGACGCCCTCCCTCAAATCTATCGGACGTTAGGTACCGATTACGATGAGAGAGTGTTGCCATCTATTGTGAACGAAGTTCTCAAGAGTGTGGTTGCGCAATTCAATGCTAGTCAGTTGATCACCCAACGTGAGATGGTTGCAAGATTAGTCAGGGAGAATTTGTCCAAGAGAGCAGCTAGGTTCAACATCATGCTTGATGATGTCTCTTTAACGGTATGATTTATATATGGCAGTCCAAGGAATAGAAACATGCTAATATTTAACTAGCATCTGGCATTTTCTCCTGAATTTACAGCGGCAGTTGAGGCCAAGCAAGTTGCACAGCAAGAAGCCCAGCGTGCAGCATTTGTTGTTGACAAAGCACGTCAAGAGAAGCAAGCTATGATTGTTAAGGCCCAGGGAGAAGCACGATCTGCGGAATTGATTGGTGATGCTATCAAGAAGAGTCGATCATACGTTGATCTTAAAAGAATCGAGAATGCAAGAGCAATTGCTCAAATCATTCAAGAAGCTGGTGGACGTAATAAGATGTATCTCGATTCGGAGGGTTTAGGATTAAATGTCACCGAGGCATTTGAGGACAAAAACAAAAAGGCATAATGAATTGGAATTGTAATGGCGAACAAAATGGAATCTCCACTGTACTACAAGCGTATGTAGCATGTATTTTATATCCCCTGGGAGGTGCAAGGCGTGCCATTCAGAGGTTAGGAACGAAGGTTTGAATGCATTATTTGAGCATACTTACGCCTTTTTAGCTGATCAAATTCTCACCACTGCCGATCCAGTAAAATGCGCGAAAGCGATCTCAAGAATCAAAAGGGGCTATGATCAGATATTTGCCGACTAATTAAATGTCCAGAGTTAAACTGAACTTCTAGTCATTTTTCTTTCAAGGTCGTTGAAGGGTTTAGTCATTGTAAGATCCGATTGTTTGATAATCTACGTTAGGCTATTCGCTAGCCGTTCCCTTCGATGATCAATTCGGACTGTAGCTCAGCTTAGGACGGCTCCCGAAAATTTCAAGACACAAGATCCTTTTCCTAATCACGTGGTAGTCACGTGGTGATAATCGTCCACTTGCCAGCTTCTTTCCCCCCCAAGCAATTTGCCATGGCGTTTCTTGGCGCTTGGCGCTGATAGCCAAGACACTCCCACCTGCTGTTTGAAGAAATAGCTTCAGATACCATTTTAAACGACCTTCCCCTCATGTTTAGATTGGCCTAGCCTCATACTCGGATACAGGAAATTCTGGAATTGATACGAGTGAGTTGGCCGGGAAAGGATGAAAAACCCTATTTCCATTGGTGGCGTCCCCGCTAGTCAATTATACCAAAAGATCGGAATTACCTTATGAAAAATCCTGAAATCACGATAAGACGATTGTTGCAGGGGAAAAACCTTCTCCGCCTTCTGTGTGACATTACAGTATTCACTTGGCTGAGAAATTCGGATGTAGACTTGTTGATATGTTTACCTTTATGGAGCTTGGCACTATAGCACGACATATGGGTGCTAGATAACAATCCAATCAGCCGGCCCCAATGGGATGGGTGGTGGATATATATAAAGTTCGGCCCTTGCCTAAACACTTACCTTTTGATTTCATTCCTCTTCTGCCACTTTTCTCTCAATTCAACCAGGACATTCTCTCATCATGCTGTTCACGATGAGGAGTTCCTTGTCGTTGCTGGGACTCTTGTCCACAGGGCTAGTCCATGCTGCCTACACCAATTCTACACCGATATTCACTCCTCAAGCGATGTTGAGTTCTCCTCGTCGAGGATCAGCAATTCCAAATGGGGACGGAACGCTTGCACTCTATACCGTGGCTACCTATTCATTTGAGAAGCATCACAATGCTCATGAGCTTCGTGTGATGAATCTGGCGAACGGTACATCATGGCTTTTCAGCAATTCGAGCTCAATCAGCAATGCTAAGGTAAGCTTGATCTGTTCACCCAGTCTTTTTTAACTACCTCGTCCTCTTGGCTGGTTTCAGACCTTACTTTTATGTTTCATGATATACACTCCTGTCGCTTGCCAAATACATCTTTAACTTCTCATTTCCTCATTGAGCCCCAATACCGTTTCTTGATAGGCAATACTGACTCCTCGATCTTCAGTGGCTGGGTGATGGAAGCAAGATTATCTGGTTTGTATCGGAAGATGATGGATCTACTAGCTTTGTCGTTGGAGATGCGGCAGCACCAGGTGCCAAGTGAGTATCCTATTTCCTCTCGTCATGTGGTCTTCTGCTGTCACCATATCATGGAAGCCCCAATACAATTTTCTGCTCAAATTTTGGACTAAATCTGACGTCGTTACAGGCCTACCCCGGCGGGTTCGGTTCCTGGATCAGTGGACAACCTTAAACTCGTCAGCATCGGCAATGGTACTCTTGGAGTTGCATTCAGCGGCCAAGCTTCACCTAATGGTACTCTTTACAATGCCGAGCTCGCTTCAACACCTTATTCCACCGGAAGAGCTTATACCTCAATTTTTATAAGACATTGGGACACATGTAAGAGCTCAACACTCATGTCACTGTCTAAGGCTAATATAAATTAGACATTACGCGTGAGAGAAACAGCCTTTGGTACGCCGCTTTATCAAAGTCTGAAAGCGGTTACACACTCAGTGAACCAATTAATGCTTTGAATGGTTCTGGTCTTGAATCACCAGTTCCGCCATTTGGTGCAACAAACAGGTGAGTGACTGACGTCATATTCCTGTTCGGGAAATTCCTAACAAGTGAATAGCTTCGATATTGGTACCAAGGGCTTATCTTTTATTGCCAAGGATATCACTTTGAATCAAGCTACCACAACCAAGTCGGATGTTTACTACATACCGTTGAAAACATTTACCGAAACCTGTCCAGAACTCAAAGTAGTTTCTACTCCTGATCTCGAAGGTGCTTCTGACAATGTAGTCTTCTCGCCCTCTGGATCATCACTCGCCTTTGTCCGTATGAAGCATATCAGCTACGAAAGTGACAAGAACCGTATTTTACAGGTAGCAGATGTCACTTCCGATTTGACGGCCGTAGAATTCTACGCTTCGGAGGATGGAAAGGGGTCCTGGGATCGTAGCCCAAGTACACTTAGTTATAGTCAAGATGGCGAGTCTCTCTATGCAGTAGCTGAAGACTTTGCCAGGGTTCGATTATTCACTTTGTCTTCTGACCCTGCAAACACAACTCTTCCATCCATTATCTTCAAGGACGGTGGTGTAACAGACCTCTACCAACAAGGAAAGGATAAAATACTTGTTAGCAGCTCAAGCTTCCTCGATAACTCCGTCTTCTCATCCGTTGATCCTATTGTTTCCGCTGCTACCAACGCATCGTCTGGTGTTACCACCATCTCTGCCAACCTCGATAGTCTCAAGGCGTATGGACTTTCCCGCGACTTCATCTCCGATATTTACTACCAGGGCGATGGTGATTACTTAGTTCATGCCTGGGTCATCAAACCTAGTACATTCGTCGAAGGTCAAACATATCCTTTAGCATTTTACATTCATGGTGGTCCGCAAGGAGCTACAGAGGATCTTTGGAGTAACCGTTGGAATATGGCCGTCTTCGCTGAACAGGGCTATATCGTCGTCGCTTTCAACCCAACCGGAAGCACAGGTTTCGGTCAAGAACTCACCGATGGGATTCAAAACCAATGGGGCGGCAGACCGTACAACGATCTTGTCAAAGGCTGGGAGTACATCGAAGAGAATCTTTCATACGTTGACACGGATCGTGCTATCGCCTTGGGTGCTAGTTATGGTGGATACATGGTAAACTGGATTCAAGGCCAACCTTTTGGACGGAAATTCAAGGCTTTATTCACACATGACGGATGTTTCTCCACTCTTTCCCAATACTCCTCGGAAGAACTGTGGTTCATGCAACATGATTTCAACGGAACTCTTTGGGAAAACTTTGACAATTACGCGCGTTGGAATCCGGCAAATCATACGGATGCGTGGTCGACACCTCATCTCATTAACCACAATGAGTTAGATTATCGTCTTCCAATTTCAGAAGGCATCGCTGCGTTTAATGTCCTTCAGGCAAAGGGTATTAAGAGTAAATTCTTGAGCTTCCCGGATGAGAATCATTGGGTTCTGAATCAGGAGAATAGTTTGGTGTGGCATAAGACGGTTTTCGATTGGTTGAATGAACACGTTGGCTTGCCTGAGTATTCTAGCCCTGATGATGCGGATTATAGGGCGCTCTTGCAGAGTGGACCTTGGATCTGAGGAATGGAAAAGGATAATGTGAAAAGTTTATTAATAGGATAGTTTTGATATGTAATTTGGAGTATATTTTGCTTCATGTTTGTTTCCGGGGCCTTTGAATGTGTTAAATTTAGAGCTCAACTACGTGCATCTTATAAATTACGTCATATTCTCCTTGTAATATGTAGATAGGCTTCCCTGAGAAATACCAATAGCTAATCATCTCCTCGGATGATCAACGATGTAGAGTTTCATTGCAAGGACTCACTGTATATCTCTGAATCTAGACCTTGATTTTATATTCGAGGATGTCCCTACTCACCACATTCGATGCGGCAAAGCTTTGATAGCAATTTAGTTCCACGGGTAAATAATCAAATACTAAATACATAACTTCTTGTCTCATATCTTCAATTACGGTGCTTTTGGTATGGTATTTGATTGGTACAGGATTGATTGTAGTAATGAGTTATGTCACGTGATGAGGAGCTACCCCACTTCTTGGTGCTTTTCGATACCTACAAATCAATTCAGTTACCTAGTATTCTGGTATCATTATGTTTCATTTCTATCAGAGTTTCCATCACCTCTGTTCCCGGCCTTCTTGATTATTATTATACTGTCAGCCACAAGACAGAGTAATACTTTTGCTACTGTTCATTATGTAAATTAGTGGACAATTTCAAGGATGGGCATTGGCTCTTGGGGCGATGGGGCGTTGCATTGGTGGGAGAACTTACATGGATATTTGGACCCCAATATTTGTGAAGCTGAAATATCGTTGTTCTATTTATTTGTTGTTTGTTGAAACGAGGTCTCACAGTGTTGGACGAGCTGTACAACACCGCCACTCGAAATCTTTCTGTTGATTAAAAGCCAGCAGTTACGCAAAACTCAGCCTTATCTCGGAAGGACCGACATTGAAGGCGATGAGCTAAATGATGGAATAATTCACCTACTATTTTTCCGGAAAAAGTTGTGGTAGTTAGGCATCTCAGCTTCGTGTGATTAAATATATCATCTCCTTCGCATCTCCCCGTTATTTGAAACATGGGTAGGCACGTCTGACAAAGAATGCATTGTGGTACCAAAAACTAAATGGCATTTAGATGATCGAAAGGCCGTGGTTGGATTGCCTGCGACATATTTCAATTCTCACAGCGATGGGAACTCGGCCATAGCACCTGAAATGACAAACATACACAAGTCTCAAGATGAAGAGCTAGTCACAGTTCCTGTCGCAAGGCTACAGCAATTGGTAGAGTATGGAATCCAGGTATTGAAAGAGAGCAGGAGCAGAACAAATATCGGTGGAATTGACCTGGAAAATAACGCTGCTCTGGTAGCAGAAGCATCTTCTGAACTGCGCCTTTATCGTCCGAAACCCCAAGCTTTCCAAGTTGCGTTGGAAATTCGATACTAATGAGTTGTTCCTAGAAACACGACCTGAGGTTCCACGACCACAAAACCGTCCAAAGCACCTAGATGAATTCTTAGCTCGAGCTTGTGCCAATCCCTGGCCAATTCGTAAGATTGAACTAAACCGTGATCAAGTGATAAATCTGGATCATCTTGGAGAACCTTTCAGCAGATTTGATCGCTTAAAGTTTTATAGCGTTTGGGACAATCATTTCAGGACCTTCTTTGGATATGGACAGCAGTCTGTGTCTGCTACGGAGGCGGTACGAAGAGAATGGTTTTGGAAACGAATACTCAATGAGTGTGACAAAGAGATGACACCATGGTTACTCGAAATTGGGACTGACGATCCAGACGCTCGAGCAGCAATTTTGGTAAAGATCTTAATCTCCATTGTTAAAACGTCAATTGAACTGAGGAACTCTACAAATTCAACAATTGGCGCTATTCTCGAGCGGTGCTACGCAAGCGGAGTACTGAGGCAGCCTGAAGATGCCCCGTTGAACCCCGAAAATGTTATCTTTCACACTGAAATGAGGCAAGATTATGGTATCCATATTCTTTTGGTTGCAATATCCCTAACAATTTTCAATGATTGTTTAACAGAAGATGATTCAAGCCTGGCTCGTAATAGCCACCAGATACTCTGGTCTCCCACGGATCTGTTAAGAGACGCTTGTGGAGGTGCCAGTCTTGAACAAATTCTTGCTTTTCAAGGACCAGATCTTGTGGTGTCTATTCTATATTTGTCGAGAAGTACAAAACACCGGACGCCACTCCAACTGTCCCCCGCAAATGCTGGACGAATTGATGATCTAAACATCCAGTCTCTAAAGTCGATCGGTGACCTTCGGGTAGTCTGGACGGATATATTTGAAGAACATCTACTTTTGAATCATCAAAAGAAATGTCTGAAAATTGCGCGCCTACGGCCATTTATATGGGGAATGTTGAGTATCTTCCAGAATGACTGGTCAGTCGTATTTTTCCAGAGTGTTAGATACTGTACTAAGATGTTGTTAGTATTCGATGGTCTAGCATATACCGTCAACCACAAGAGCTGTCAGTTTTGAAGGAAGTAAAAGCTGATATTGAAAAGACATGGGCCATAATTTTCTCGATATCACCTCTGGGGGAGAACTCCAAGAATAGACTGAGGATCAGGGAAAAGCTCAAACAAGAGTACGAGATGGTCACCGATGAAGATCAAAATCCAGTGAACATATGCAGCATTCAAACTCTTAAACAATACCATATGCCATGGATAGAGGATGACTCCGCAACTGGGAGAGTGCAGTCATACTATGAATCACGATGGGAAAATCTCCAAGGAATTATTCAAACAAAGAAAAACAAAAGTACCATAGATTACTCAAATTTTGGCATGTTCGAGGATCGTGTTCAAGAACTTCGACAGTATATGGACAGTCAAAAGCCCCGTGGTTTGCGGCAATTATTGCGAGATTCTAGGGATGCCCTCAACTATTATACTTTCATGGGTGTCATTATTTTCGGACTGCTGACTGTTTTTCTTGCTTTGGCATCTTTTGCAGTTGGGGTCGCTCAGGCATATGCTGCGTTCAAAGCGTTGGATATGCCTCCATACTAGCAAAAGAACTCTGATATTCAGTACGGTGATCAACTGAGCAGATTTTGAAGGCGGTTCCGGCCTACGTCTGTTGTATCTTTTCATTGTATCTTTTCACTGTATACTGAATGTTCTGGCTCGAGTTGGGCAACAATATGTTATCGATCTATTAGAGAAATTACGTCTATAATCGGGTCTATGGAGTAGCTAACTACACGTCTTCGACAGAGTTGGACTTGGGATTCCCCTTTTCAGGATTCAGTACACTTCGGATCATGTGAGATCGAGGTCAGGAGAGAAGGGGCGAATAAAGTTCCTTGCAAGCAACATTCTGTCCTCTTCCGCCAAGAGCAACTCAGTGAAAAAGATCTCTCAGAGCCTGAGGGCGAAGGCTTCGAATTCAAAGAGAGGCGCTACTCTGAAGAGCTATCACTAAAGTTGCTGAGAAACGGGCGATGGACAAAGGGATATAATGCTTTAGATATTGCTACAGGAGTCTACACAAGAGCTAGAAGAGGGAAATTGTTACTTTGCGATACTATCATTTGTTTGCTATCTTATATTTCGCGTCTTTAGAATATACACCACCTCACCTGTGACAAAGTTTCCTTGCTCTGAGCCATCCAAGTTGCACCTAAACACCCTCATGAATTTCATCCTAAACCAGAAACCTCCACCCTCAACGAATAAACTGTGTGGACATCTGATAAGGCCCAGTCGAGCACATATGCCTTAGTTTAACCGCGGCGACGCTTGATAGTGCTAGCGTGCGCGGCGGCCTGCATGACTGCAAGTTCCTGCGCCTCAATCCTGAGCTTCAATTCTTCCATATCCAAAAGCTCAAGCATCTCTTTCTGCTTTCTTTCCGCCTCTTCAGCATTTGCTATGGTACTAGCGGTGATGCCAATCATGATCTCGGCGCTCGCACGGTCATCCAGGAAAGCAGGAGGGTTAGGTTACACGCACGCGCTTGGGCCGTGAGGTGCTCCCTACTTCTAGCTTGATTGGCTGTTGCGCATCGGAAATGCCAAGCTAAACTCTTGGCCTCCACATTTAGATTGGGCCCATCAACAACCCTTTACTAGGTATTCCAGCTCTCCTCCTCCTTCTATCCTAATCCTTATAACCAGCCCGCCTTCAATAAGAACACTGCACTATTAGATTTTCATCCATAATCTGTTATACTTCCCTTGTCTCGGAACATCGATATCAACATCAGACCTCATACCTCAATACAACTGTTGATAACAAAACTACACGTGCACTTTATTCACGTCCCAGTCCTTCGGCTGAAACATGTATTTCGATCCCATCACTCAGGACAGACAAGATAAGAACTTCCAGATATGGATAGGGCAATTGTTGAAAGGAGATCCCGAGCAACTCGCCTGTCAACTAGCAAAAAAGCATCGGCCGGGTCACAAACTCGGCGCGGCTCTTTGGAAAAACGGTGCCTACAATGTCTGTTATAGAGTGAGGTATGAGGACGGTTTCCACGCCATTGTTCGATTTGCAGCACTTGGCAAGACTGTACACCGTACTGAAAAAGTGGAGAATGAGGCAATTGTTCTTCAATATTTGCAGCAACATACCGATATTCCTGTCCCACGAGTACTAGGATGGGGAACGTCCTGGGTCGGGCCATATATTGTTGAAGAGTTTATCGAAGGTGATTTGATCTCCAACGCTTTGAAGGATCCCACGCAAGAAGGACGCCCAAGCTTAAACCCAAAAATCAGCGATCGAGCTTTGAAGGTAGCCTATCGTGGCATGGCCAAAATTGTTCTTGATATGTCAAAACCAGAGTTCAACCGCATTGGTTGCCTAGTGCGAACGGATGAAGGAAATTTCGTAATTGGTAGGAGGCCTCTTTCAATTCGCCTGAGCGAATTGTCAATATCAGCGAACCTAGCTCCAGAACATCTTACTAACTCCACCTTTACCTCCTCTGCTAAATATTTCGATTTATTGGCTGAGCAACATCTCACCCAGCTTAGATATCAACAAAATGATGTCGTTGAAGATGAAGTAGATTGCAAAAAGAAATACGTATCTCGCTGTCTATTTCGTGGAGTTGTTCGTCAAGTTTGTGCAGAATATTCCAACGAGCCATTCAGACTCTTCTGCGACGATTTTAGACCTTCGAATGTCCTCGCCAACATGGAGCGATTCCAGATTTCAGCAGTTGTTGACTTAGAATTTTCATATGCGGCGCCATCAGAGTTTACCTACGCTGCACCTTGGTGGCTTCTGTTGCAAGGTCCAGAGGATTGGGAGGATGACCTAAATGATTTTCTGACTCGCTATACACCGAAGCTTGAACTATTTCTCTCTGCGTTGAGAGAATGCGAGGAAGAGCAGATAAAAAATGGGAAGCTTCTTGAATCTCGACGATTATCTACTCGTATGGAACAATCCATGCATAACGGCCTTTTTTGGGTGTGTATTGCAGCAAGACATAGTCAGATGTTTGATGAGATATACTGGAAATTTCTTGACGAAAAATACTTTGGGCCATTAGTTTCGCTTGATGATCGAATAGAACTTCTGAATGAAGAGGAAAAGAATGAGCTTTGTACGATTTTCGACCTCAAGCAGGAGCAGGCTAGGGACAAAACTTTTAATGTGCATTATCCTGCTAGAGAACTCATGAAGCTCTAGAATGTTTTACTGGACCTAGTAAGTCCTGTTCTCATCAGTGTGGCTCATGACTTTGTAAATGCATTTCCTCATTCTCTACTCTATAAACGTTGTCGTTGCCCATCTGACTCAAGCCAAAAGGAATCCATAGATATACCATGCGTACCAACATACATCAACACATCTAAAGGTCATTTCGTATCTACATTCGCAGTCAATTAAATACTTCAACCATATATCCTTCGCTTAAGATGTACGACGCCTTAATATATAATCATTTTCTCATATATTTTCACAGCAGACCTGCGCTGTTCCTCTGTCATTCAATCCTCATCACATCACATATTCCCACATAACCATATAAACGATAAACAATAAACAATGGAGACTATCATTCATCTTCAATCAACCAATAAATTACCCCCATCATCTCCACAACAGCAAAATACAAGGATTGCGAATATCACCCTCATTCACAAACACCTACTACTATTTCCCTTCCGACTTTGAACACCATAACCACCACCTACCCTACCGTCAGGAGCAATGAAGAAATTGTATTGAGAGATTTCACATCTAATTACACCCCACATTATTCGAAGCTATAGAGAGAATACAGAGTACAGAATACCAAACATGATGATTATGACTACAGCCTGGAAAGATTATAGAGTGCTAGGCCTGGTGATGCAACTGATTTGCAGGAAGCCACTACTTTACGGGCACATAAGTACGTACTTGCGGTAAAGTAAAATGATTCCTATAGATTGTTCGATCAGTTTATCATTATATTATACTCCTGCCCCTTGTTACAAGTCTTATTAGCGATTGATTTATATGCTGGCAAAGTTTTGCTGTTATTCTTATTGTTTGTTTCGATGCTCGGAAATTAAAAATGTTTAGATCTGACTCTTCGTTACAAAACTGTTATATCTTACTGTGACTTATAATTATATTCTTCTTCATCTATAATCTTTATATTTTATTCTATCTCATCCAATTTTATCTCCTCTCATTGACCGCCCCACGAAACGCGAAACTCACCAACTCACCAACAAACACCCTCTTCCCATCCGAATGTATCCACTCTATTCACAAATACTCCTTTACCTCACCCCATCTCACCCCACAAACACCAAACTCAAAACCTCCAGCCACAACAGCCAGCAATCCTAATCTAAATCATGTAATACGATCAAGACACCTCAAGGCACCCCTACAATACCTTCCAAAGCCAAAACCGTACTCTATGTAGGTATACACTATCCGATCAAAGCACCCCTACCACGAAGAAATTAAAAGGGCGTGATCTACTAGGTGAATCTCATTTAGATCTTGTGAAGTATAGTTGACCAACTGCAATAGCATGATAGTTGATGCACATTTAAATGCGTATTATGAGAGCAATTATAGCAAAGCAATTTCCGTCACACATGTGTTTCCCTTCCGAAAATCATGATCAGCTTCGAATCTTGACACCTCATTGATTGATATGAGCTGGGATGAGCAATGGCAACAGAACTTTGACAACCCACCTCCAAATATTAAATCCCTTCAGTTCATTAAATCGAAGAATAACTACTATAAGTGCGCCAATAGAAGAAAATGATCCCTTCGCTATTCTCAACTTCATCCTCTCGAAGCATCAAGTCTTCTTCTCATAGCCAGAACTTCCTTACATACCATATCAACCCATACATCATACCTATGTTCAAGTTAGCTTAATTTCTCTAAGGTCCCTCAAACTGGTCACAAAAACACAAAAGACCAAAAAACATACTCCGAAATCCCATCTCCCCAATCAACCCTCTCATAAACACCCTTCTCCTCCTCCTCCTTAGCCGTAAGCCCAGGCCCTCTCCCAACCTTCCTATCCGCCCTCTCCGTAGCCCCAACTCCCATAAACAAAGCTTGCGGTGTAATCCCCACACATCTCGCTACAAATTCTCTAAACTTCTTATCTGGTTCTATTGCCTCCATCGCGCTAGTACCACTCTTCAAACTTTCATTTCCAAACCCAGTCTGACTGTTTCCTATTCTAAACTTTCCAGAAATCAGATGTTCAGGAGTGATTTTTGTGTTGGAGGAAGAGAGTTGATTAATGCTGGTATTGGGAGAAATGGGCGTGAGACCTCTAGCTGGACGACCTTCCATTCGGAGATAGAATTCATCGCGGGAAATATCGCGGCCCATGGCTCGCACCGTTTGAGTGTGTAGTCGGGAGAGGATATCGAGGTCGCAGGCATGAGCACCGATGGCGCAGAAAGTTGTTGGGTCTGTGGTATTTCGTTAGAAGAGGGTTTTGTTCTAGATGAAGAGCTGATGGAGAATGTAGGAGGATAATTTCTGCAGCATCTTGAAAGTAAGATTATCACATACGGATATTTGGTGGAAGAATTGGAGATGGAGCTTCAGGTATCTGTGATATTTTTGGAGAGAAAGTATATGAAGTAGCACGACTTCCATTGCGTTTTTCGGAGGTGAAAGCCATTATTTCTGGTTGATGACTATGGTTGTGTAAAGGAAACACTGAAGCTAACACCACGTCTTGTAGTCGGATTCCTCTTAATGAAGCTCTATCAAATACAGCAGCCTTTTCAGAAGGAAGGTAGTACAGGAGAAGGGAAAGGTACATCAAAGAAATGATTCGACGAGAAAATAATTACAGAATTCCCTTAAAGATAATGTACAATTGTAGAAGATTAGATGAAAGTGATTCACTTTGTGTTTTTATGCTGTCGAAAGTGAAGGTGATGAAAACTCAAGCAAACATCGAATCAAACTATGAATTGTCGGTTTGTAGTTTGTAGTTTGTACACTATTTGAGAAAACGGTATCGCATAAAAACTCCCAAGAGTCCTCAAGCTATGTTCGTTTTTACTTCCTTGAAGAAAGAACGTGTTCGTAAAATGCTCTTCATAGTGGTATAGTATTAGACGAGGAAGGAAGTATCTAGCTAGCAAGAAGGAAATCGAAGCTACTCACGTGTTTTTTCCCTCCAAACTTACATCGAACCAGAAACATCAAGAACGATCAATAACTTGACATCAGAAATCGAATATAAAATTTACTACATAATATCTATATAAATTGGACATCAATAAACATAGTTCTGCTTCTTTCAAATCCACATACCGAATTTTAATCCCTGTCCAATTGTATTGGGATACAATGGATAGACTTCCAGAAAGACCTCTTTGAAGATTCAGACGTGCAACAAAACACTGCCTTAAAATGCCAAAGTCTATATGAAAATTACTAACATCCTTCTAACCACAGCAACCTTAATCAACAAGCTTACTATACTACAAACTTGTAACTGCATCAATTAACAAGGATAAGAGCATTGATGATCCAAAAGCGAGGGTAATTCTTTAATTCTGGAGCTAATCTAGCTATAACCTAATAACCACTGAACAGAGATCTGGTGATCCAGCGAAATCTCAACAGATATTGCCAAGGATAATAATCTTGGTATAAAGTTGAGCTCCCCCTATCTATTAGAACGGATTCAATAGAATCGCCCACCTCCTCATCCTTCGGTGATTGCGAGAAATAGCTCTTATCTGCCAGGAAAATCTTGTAGGAAATAGCCACGAACATGAAGACCAACCAATTCTTCTAACCCTGCCAGCTATATGGGAGGAGACCAGGTACTCTCTCCATCTCCCTCAAGCAAACACCAGCAGCTAAATATCTGAAGCTTTTTAAAGGCTCATCCCGGGTGCTTCTTGGCTCCCTATCGTCCAAAGAAACGGCAAAACATGCAATGCTGCGCTCAAGGGCTTCCTCTGAATAGTCATCATTGACCTTGATTATGCAATTAATGATGAATGCTGCAATTTCATCGTATTTCTCTTTCATGCTGGTACAGAGCTCTCTTTGCTTTTTGCTTACCGACCCAGCCTTTCCGAGGATGTTGCCAACAAATACCTCTCGCTCGCTGACTGGACGGCTCGGATGCTCGCTGTAATGATGCATTATGTCTAGCATATTGCTTTCGTATCTGCATTACCATTAGTTTCGCCAATTGTAAAGTAGACAACACCCGAGCTTACATGTCCTGAATTTCCATCGCATCATTGCGCAGATGCTGCCAGAGGATTCCCTGAGAACGAGATTTGACGAATTCCAAAACGTGCTGCATAACATCTGGGCTATCATTGGCTTGCATGTCCAGCCTTTGAATATCTTCAAAGACTTGTCGCTCATCGATTGCACGGTAAAGCATTCCACAAGTTTTTTGACTTTCATAATACTTGATATTCGAGACCTCGTCTTCTTCATCCATTGCTTCTATTGGAGCATACTCCTTTGCAAGTTCTAGACGATCAGTAGGACGGTTCGAAATCTTGATATGAGGTCCTGGAGCCATGAAATCAGGACGCCAAAGAGTACTTTTGGGCACACTTGGATGATATATATCAGGCTAAAGAGGTTTACAGGTCAGTGGGGTATCTAAGTTCAGTATAAGAAGATCACCATACCGCTATTCCCGTTTTGGAGAAATCCACCGCAGTTGAGCAAAGCTCCGCCAAAATAAGACATTGGCGACATTGAGTTCCCATCTCATTTTGATCTGCATAGACTTGATGTCTATTGGATATAACACCAAGCTGATCTGTCTTCATGAAAGTCAAGAAGTTATCAGCCATGTCTTGTTGTGTCACTGAACGGCCGATGTCGAGAGGTGGTAATCGTGGGTAATCAGCGGGTATTACAGTCTTTTTCAACTTCATTTCTGGATCAAACATGACATAATAGAGATCGCCGTCTAGATCACCACCTGATAGCTGGCTTGGTAGATCGCGAGCTCCTTTCTGACTGAAGCAAATGCAGTTGTGGAGCCTCTTCAGCGGGGAGTTACTTGGAACATCCACGGCATTCACCAATTGAACGTCTCCAGGATGAAGAGCCGGAGCACGAGTAATAACAACACTCGATTGCACCAGAGTGGTGCGCTTCCCATCCTCAAGCCAGCAGCAATATATTTCGCCTTCTTTCAAAATCCCAGTCTCGTCCATTATGCCGTGCAAATGGAAGCCCTTTTCGACGGGTATCCTAGCTTTATGCTTTAGAGTGCGAAGCTCTATCAATACTGCCATCTCGAGAACATCACGCAAGAATACGTCGTTTCTAAAGTCAAGGTCTAAATAAGAACAGTGCTCGATTAGATACGGAAGGAGAGCGACATCACCAACTCTCTTCCTTTCAAGAAATGTCGACGCATTATATGTATTAGCCGTAATTGCTCTCAATCGTGTTACTTCCTTTTCTTGGAGCTTCATAAAGTATTCCGGTTCGACTCCTAAGTCTTCCAGAATCTTGATAAATTGTCGGTTAAGATACATAGAAAGTGGTTTGTATGCACCCCCACATATTTCAAGGTCATTCGAAATCGATCCGTCAAACTTGATCATCGACTCCCTGAGCCGTAAATGATCTCCGGGGAGACGGGTGTCCAAAGAAATCATACCTTTGGCACCTGTAATGAATGGTAAGCTTTGTTATGTTATGAACGGCATTATTATCCCTTGTAAAATCGAAAAACATCGAGGAACTAGATCATGGATCTTGAATGATTTCAAACTAACCTTGATATCTAATTTGGAAACATGTCGGCTTTACAAATTTTTTGTTCGGTAGCTTTTCCCATATTTTGTGCATCAAGGGCTCTGACATTGTTCCCACTCCATCACTGAAAACTCTGCCATTGCGTTCGACGTCAGGAATTCTTTCTATTGTAACAGTTCTCTTATCAAGAGTAATGGCGTTTGGTGTATCAGAGAATGCCTGCCCAATTCGTGCTGCACATTTGGCTGGAGAGCGAATTGCTGTAAAATTACCTAGGTCATGAATGATGTGCTGGGCATCGTGATATCCCTCTCCGTTGAAGAATGGTGCTACGAACCAACAAGATTGTGTTCGGAGAGAAGAATGTGATGATCCTAAATATTCGTACTTTTGGCTTGCGATTGAAAATCCATTTCGTAGGATATTCTTAAATACTCCATCGAAAATCTCATCGTTGGCAACATTTGGAGCATACTGGATTCTACCACCATCTTCGTCGCAGAAATTCACACGTAAAAAATTACCATGACTACCTAGACGATTATTCAGTTGTCAGTATTCTGGTGAGAAATTTAGAAGAAGGGGCGGCTTTAAGGTGGGTAGAGGTAAGACATAAGACGTAAGCAGAATAGTACTTACCTGCATATTTCCGGAGAATACGATTGTTACTCTCAGCCTCAGGGCCTTCAAGATAAAATCCAGCAGGAGTGATGGTAACTCGATGAACTAGAGCAGTGTTCTGAGAGGCAGTTCCTCCAAAATCCTCCGCGTAGAGAGCCTCTTGCGTTGAAAGCTTCTCATTTTTCAAAAGCAGCTTAACAATAGCGTTTTTGTCAAAATCTTCCGCCTTGACATTAGGTCCTGGGAATGGAAGCTGATGGAAGAGTCTCCTTGTAGCTGCGACACAAATTGGAAGACTAGATCGTTCGAACATCAAGGTGAAGGTTGGTAGAAGATCAATAACTTGGCGAGGAGAGAGGAATCCATTTCGGGCTAGTTTTTGGACCTGAAAAGTCAAGGGAAACGGTAGGCTATTATTGAAACTGCCCAAGGCCGCTTGAAGCCTCGTAAGTCCCACAATGTGAGATTCGGTGGGTTGAGTGACCGCAACGGGATGATGAATCATCGATGGAATTCCTCGAGCATTCTTCAACGATTCCAACTTTTTTTCAACATCGGGAGAAAATCCACCTATGCCCTTCAATGTGCAACGATACACAAGAGAGCTGCCCGCAATACCTCTGTGCTCCTCGTCAAACGCAGCAATGCGAGATCTTTTTGGAGGGTGGTTGTTGCCGTTTCCGAGATTCATTGTGCGAAACATATTTGTAATCCCAGAGAAATCTTCTTTCGGGGGATCTTCAAAGAAGTGAGGAGGTTGATGGAGTGTGGCAGTGATTGCTGAGTTATGGCCATCATCCGTGGTGAGAAGTTCAATTGTATCGTACCGAATGACCATTCGCCATCCGTAGTCGAGAATCAGTATCATGGCCCTCTCCTTGAAGTGGACAGTGAAATTGCCTTGCCACTTTTTCTCCTCCACGAAAACCAAATCCTCTTTCACATAATTCCAATTGCCACACATAATTGCAGTGCATTCAAACGAAGTGTTAGCGGTTGGTGGACCATGTTGAAGAAATGAATTTTCGATACGTTGTTTTTCCTCCCTCTCCAGACATCGAAGTAAATACGGATTCGCAGGGAACTTGCTCTTTTCACAGTAAATCGGCCTGCTGTGGAAAACAAGCTTTGGATGAGAAACCAGGAAGTTTTGTTGCTTGTTGTTTGGTCTTTTCTCTCCATATCGTCTTAAAAACTTCTCACCATCTGTGGCAGTACGAAAGGTGATTTTCCCAAAGTCCTTGGTTCGAGCAGTGTGACAATGAAAGGCATGAATGGCAAGAGCATCGATCTTAGGCTTAAGAAATTTTCGAAGATCGTGCTCTCCAGTCTGGACTGGCACGTTTGTGACGTGAATCTCCATTGCGTCTTGGACGCCGGAGGATTCACCACGGTAATGTGAGCCACACCTGATGGAGGGATACTATGAGAGAATAAGAGGATTTAGATAGAATGGAAAGCAGTCGAATATGCGATCGACTTGAAGTAAAATAATCTTGTCTGAGGTGAAAAGATGGTTAGGTCAATGGTAAATGCGAGGCTTCATGAGCTGCATGTAACCGTTGCGGAAAAATCACTGATTGGCTAATAGCTAGGTAGTAGTAATATCCAAGAAGCGAAGGGTGCATGAGCGCAATTGCTGTATGTTAAGATTAAGTCCGCCGACCGGTAGGTGGGGTAGGTTATACAATATAATATTTGCTTTATCTTTTTCTATTTCTTTTCTATATCCCGACGAATGATGTATTCAACTCCCCTCTCTAATGAGCTAGATGAATTCTTGGAAATCAATACTACGTTCTCAGTTTGAACGCGTTGAATGAACTGCGGATTTGCAACATCATCCTATTCCTGAAAGTCTTTTATATCTGCTTATTAGAGGACATTGAGATGATATTCGCAGATCTCCGAGTTGAGTTGCTTCAGAACTTTTCAACATTTGTGGCCTCGGAATCTGAGTTATATCAACGCTTGGATCTAAAGCCAAATGTAGATATAAAACATCGAGGCCCAGACAGTGGCAAGCTCACGAAGATTACCAAGAGCTTGTGACTGCATGTCATCCTATCTATGCACTCGAGGTTCAACCACCTTCAGACAATGCCAGGCAACGTCACATAGCTTAAGAACTACACCTGATGGTCTAGGGCAGCTGTACTAACACGAAAAATGCGGTTCACTGCTTTTGTTGAAAGTGTTGTAGGTATCATAAACAAAGCATTCCCACCGCTCTCTCCACAGATGTGTTGATGTAATCGACCGTTGATATGATTGACCTACATCGATGGTAAGATCTTAAGATCTTACATGCAAAGTCTTTGCCTAGAGAAGCTCAGATCACTATATCATCCGCTCCCTTCAATTCCCCCACTCTTTCTTTCATATGCGTCGTAGCCTACAACTCTACCTCCCCACTTGTAATTGCGCGAGTAACTACTACATTCATTCACATCGTTTGGAAGTGGGAGATGGCTCCATGATCGAGGCGAAGTCAAGGGAAGTCCTTTGACAGATAATCTAGTGTGAATGATATTATTAGGACCCTGCATTAGATGTGCAACATTTGGTTCGCGGTAATCGAAGGAATGGCTAGACATTAATGATGTGAGATATGGAGGCAGATGTCTCCGGATAACTTATAAGGGGTTCATGAGAGCTTGGTTCGAAGAATACAAGAGATCCATCGTGCTAATTTCAGGGCAAAGAAAAAGTTTTGGGATTGAGCTTCTAGAAGAAAGTGCACGGACGGCCAGAAGAACTTCTCTTTAACTTTTGGGGGAAAGTTTGGACCTGAATAAGGTTACGTCCAAAGTTTAAATTTATGTTTTCACTAAGGACTGATGAAGTCATCTGGGGATAGATAGTCCCTCTCAACCCATTTACGCGTTGGGTAACTCAGAGGAACAAGTCATCCATATCTGACTCCAAGTCTCACCTCAGCTTATATCGTTCATGGCTCCTTCTCCATGACATCCTTCTCTAGGATCTAAATGGAGTATTTGTTGCACATCTGATATACCCCTTCTAATAATATACCATCAGAATCGTAATACACCCGTCTAAACCCAAACACAAGCCACGATTTAATTAATTTCCACCCTTTCTCCACTCCCTTCTCTTTTCCTTCTTTTTTCCTTCTTCAGACGTTTTGTTGCATGTCTATTATACCTACCTAGCAATAATACAATTTCTCCATCCCACATCTCTACCAGCAATTCCGGCCTCCAGAAACAAGCGTCCCCAATCCATTTCCACTTCCTTCCACTCTCTTCCACTTCCTTCCCTTTTTAGCAGTCTCTGCGAAAGCTTCCAGACCTTAAAACTCAAATGTTGCACATCTGATATACCCATCTAATCATAATAATATCCCATTTACCATCTTTTCCTTATAATAACAACATTGATATTAATATAAAATCCTCACATTAATCCGCCGCTGCCGTTCATGAACTCCACTCTGCGGCTCCCACGCTTCAGAAAAATAATCCCAAGCCTCATCCTAGCGCGAAATTTTAGCGCTGTATCAGAGCAGTTCCTGGTTTGTGATCTCACTCGGTAATTACAATGGAGTTTCCGTCTTATTTGATAGCTCTCGGACCTCCTATATTTTGACGAGAAAGACGAAAAATTGTTGCCCGAAGCTTGAAGTTATTGATATATTATTACTCTTCGGCCATTCTCATATCGCTTTTAAATATCTAAAGATGTATAAAGCCATTTTATATTTATTGTCTTTTGCCGGGTGCTAAAATAATTCCGAATTATTTTTTAAAACCTTCAAAAATCTAATTGATGATGCCAAACGTCACGTTCCCTCATCAATGGTAAAACAAGATGTATATTGTAAGAAAGTTGGAATTATAGGCTAAATATATAAAGGTTTTTAACTAGTCAATCATATGATCTTTTGTAGTTAAATATAAAAGAAGAATTTTAATTTCTTCTTTTCATTATAATCAACCTTCTATATATATACATTTGAACCTATATAATATCAACCTTAAAACTATTATGAATCTTGTTTTCTTTATAAGTAATGTATTACAATGTAATCTAATTCAGCTTTCTTTTCCAATTCCCTCCTTACAATATGTTATCGGGACGCACATATCTCGACCTACCATTTTTACAATATATATTCAGTCAACGCAGATACATAGGCAATTCTCTTCATATCTCGTTTAACTACTATTATCTCGCGTTTATTATATTTTATTCTTTCTTGAATAAATCCTCGGGCATCATTATCATTAACTCCGGTCACGTATTCTCACTTGTACCGAAACGCGTCTCAGAAATTTATTTCAATTTGTTACCTTGTGAGCGATACATTCAACAAAACCTTAAAGAGCTGGAACAAAAGTACCTTGAAGGATGTTGATGCTTTATGTGATAATATAGTTGTGATGCTAGAGCTTGCAAGACAGCAGAACCAGTACTTTTAATCCTGTGCATTCTCCACTGAAGAGTCAGCTCTAATGGATTTTTCTCAAACTCATATCCTAATACATACATATTTAATGCAAAAAAAGAAGATGAAGACATGGAATACAATGGTTTCTATTACTAATGCATAAGTTTGAGATTGATCCTTGTTCAAGCGATGATAGGATACATACTTCCCATTTTTTGATGGAACTATCTCCAACAGTGCTTAAAGTGCATATAGACTTTAGATAATTACGTCGCGTGCTGAATAAAGTCCTTCAATATATGAAATAGTACCTACAGTGCTGTCCCATCTGATGTATATAAGTGGTGCATTGCGAGATTTCTTGATGTTAATATTCATATTTCTCACACATGTTCTCCTCATATTTAGAGATTTGGAAAAGATTCCCAGAACTATGGTGTGAGGAAATTATTCAACATTAGTTGCGCTGCTGCCTGTATGAGTATATCCTATTCCGCAAGAATGTCGCTGTTGCTATCGCTTTTTAGTGAATAAGGAATCTATTGAAATTTCTCAATGTTGTTTCTGGAAACATAAATATCATTGTAGCTATTCATCTCAGCTTTCCGTCTATCTGCAAACCCTAAATTGGGGAAGACTTCTCCTCCAAAGCTCTATTTTAAGTCATAATGACAGGTGAACCCTTCTTCTCACAGTTAATTCGAACCTTGACTTGTTATACTGGATAAGTCCCCTTACAAGCAGTAAATTCTCAGGAAAATTTCATCAAGTCATCGCCTGAAGATGTTTACTCAATGATCTATTAGTACCACTTTTAAATTGGAAGAGGAGTTTCTACCCAGTGAAAACTCTTTTCCGTCCATTCCTTACATCCAGATTGACCTAACTGAAGAGCGTATTGTATCCCCTTACTATCCTTTCCTCCCACAACCGATCAATGAATAGATATATAAGCACCATGATCTGTAGTCTGAGGAAAGTATTGACAAACACCTTGGTATCTCAAAGCATAAACATCTCTACATTTGTCAAAGACTTCTTTGAAAGACAGCTAGGAACATAGGATCTCTAAATTATTTTTCTCGTCATGACTTCTAAAAATTTAAACTCTTGCTCTATCGTTGTCACTATTATTTCCTCATTACTTATTCATATCCATCCATTGCTATCGTGAAGTCTAGTCACCATTACCTACTTACTTTCACCAAATCTTCAATCTATTAAAACATACATATTAACATCTTTTCCAACCTTTTTCAATCATCAACCTTAATTAATAATTGACTCTATTACATATCAAGAATCAAAAAAACGAAACTTATACAAAACTACAACTATTACTTCTTGACTAATATCCGATATATAAAATTATAAGATAGTATTGAAAAAAGGCAAAACGTTTTCATTTGAATCAATTTATTAGATATCGGAATTGGAATTAAGGATATTTAGAGAATATATCGATGATATATTAAAAAAGAGTTGGATTAAAGAATCAATTTTATAAACAATTAGTTTTATATTATATATATTTAAAAAAGATAATATTAAGAGATTATATATAGATTATTATAAATTCAATAATATAATAATCAAAGATCGATATCTATTTTTATTAATTATAGAATTGAAGGATCGATTGGGAAAAGTAAGGATTTTCTTTAAGTTTGATTTAAAGAACAGATTTTATTTAATCAGAATAAAGAAAAATAAAAAATAGAAAATAGTATTTAGAATTCGATATAGATTATATAAATATTAGATTATATTATTTGGATTAATTAATATATTAGTAATATATATATAATTAGTTAAAAATATATTAAGAGAGTATCTAGATATCTATTATATATGTTATTTAAATGATATTCTTGTATTCTTTGAAATAAAAGAATAATATATATTAGATATATATAAGATATTAAAACGATTGAAGAAAGTAGATCTTTAATATAAGTTTAATAAATATAAATTTTATATTATAGAAACAGAATTTTTGGATTATGTAATCTTTTTAGAAGGTTTTAAAATAAACTTTGATAAACTAAAAACAATTCAAAATTAAGAATTATCGAATAATGTAAAAAAGATATAATCCTTTTTAGGACTTGTTAATTTCT